TCATTAATGATCAGTTTGTAAACGATGAAATAGACTTTAAAAGGCGTGTTGTGCGTGAATGTTTGCGTTGGCATTATTTTCAGTAGCCAACAGGTGGAAACAAGGCAAATGTCCATCAACAGAAGAAAGAATAAGCAAAATGTGGAATATCCACTGGACTATTACTCAGCCTGAAAAATGACTGAGATTTTGATACCTGCTACAACATGGATGAACCTTTCAGAAATACTAAGTAAAATAAGCTGGACTTCAAAAATAAAAATTGTATGATCCCACTTGTAGGAGAGACCTAGAATTGGCAAATTTATGAAGACAGAAAATAGAACAGAGGAGGAGGGAGGGAGGGATGGGGAGTTGTTGTTTCATGAGTAGTCTTTCAATTTAGGGAGATGAAAAAGTTTTAGAGATGGATAGTGGTGATGGTTGCACCATATTGTGAATGTACTTAATGCCACTGAATTGTATATTTTAAAATGGTCAAAGTAGTGTATTTTATGTTATGTATATTTTATCACAATTGAAAAAAAAGATACATTGAGTTGGAATTGAAGAAGCTCCAGCCACAGGTCAGCAAGGAAAGGCATCACCATACCAATGAAAGGTGTTGCTTCTGAATGCAGTCCATGCCCTATTCATGGAAAACTATGGGGGGGGGGGGCGTATTTCATGCCTCTAGAAAAGAAAGGGTTTACAGTGTTTAAGGGATGAAATCTTTTTAAATTACCATTTTTGTGAGTACGCAAGCTGTGTCTCAATAATACGTTTAGGATTTTGAATAGTATGGATCTTTGACTTCGGGGTCAAAATGTCAGGATTTTTAAATGATTAGACATCAGAATTTCTTAACACTGAACAATGGTTGAGAGTCAGCAGATGGCTCCATGGCTGAGAGTTTGACTTTTTCCCAATACCCGAAGGTTTTCTTCATTCATCAGAAAAAAACAGTTAGGATGTGTCTCTTGCATATTACAAGTCACATCTAAATGCTGCAGCTAAACATGAAGAGATATCTTACCAGCCAAGTGCCACCAGAGAGAGAGGGTGTGACTCCACCTGCCGCTGTCTCCCAAGGTGAGACCTCTAACCTTCCAGCTCAGGGGTGCCGAGCCGGGGTACTTGTCCTCGTCCCCAATGAAACACTCAAAGTTGTCTTTAGAGGAAACTCCCCCCATAATTTCCTGGTCTGCATTTGATCTGAAAAGCCAGAACTATCCATCAAAACTTCCCAACAACCTATATGGTTTTGAGTTAAGATTTTGTAATGTAGAAAACACAAAGAGTTGGGGGGCGGGGACCAATATACGGAAGCTGACAGCTCAAACAGCTGTCAGCCAGAGGTTCCTTCGTGAGTGATTTCAAACACTGTTTCTCTTCTCACAGATGAAAAATCATTACTGCTACTCACTTCTTAATTTGATTTTTACTTAAAAATTTTTTTTTCTTTATTGATTTTTGAGAGAGAGGAAGGGAGAGAGAGGAAGGGAGAGAGAGAGAGAAATATCGATGAGAGAGACATCGATTGGCTGCCTGCTGCATGCCCCCCACGAGGGGTTAGGTCCACAACCTGGGCATGTGCCCTGACCAGCACCAGCGAGGAATCGAACAGGTGACTTCTTGTTGCATGGGTAGATGCTCAACCACTGAGCCACACCGGCTGGAATAATTTTTACTTTTATTTAAGATATATGGGTTTGTGGTTCAAAGGGTCACAGTTCTATAAAGATTGGAACAAAAACAGCAATTTCATGTTTCTCATCTCCTCACCTCGAATTCCATATTTCCAAGGGCGAACACTCTCAGCTTGTCTACCTCTTTCTTCTGCCTCCCTACCTCTAATAATATACTCATACGACTATTTTTTATTTTTCCATTTTAGATATCATCTATTGGCTTTCTCTTATGGAAAAAAAAAAAAAAAGAATTAGGTCCACACACATAAGCTCATTTCTTCTCATACTCATCTTCCCATTAGTCACATCATAAATTTTAGTAAGATAATCAGACAACGTGTACGTTGTCTGCCTGCATATATAATTATATAATAGTGTTGCTAAGCAAATTCTCTTTGAAATATACAAATATGCAACTGAAACATGCAGTCTATTTTGATTACATGTTCTTTTTGCACATTTTTGCTTTCTCTGGAGTTAATAAGGATTTTATGTCTTCTTTTGTTCACTAATTTGTCACGAGTTTGTCCCCAAACTCTTCTTCAGAAGTTTAATTATTGCTTCTATTTATGCAAATGCATCAGGTTATCCACCAGTTTCAAATTCTCTCGGGGAAATCACCCTTCGAGTCCTCCACTTCCTGCCTCCACCTGGCCTACGAGGCCGGAAGCACACCTCTTTTCTAGGGATATTTTTTTCTCCATCCTGTTTGGATACTATTTGTCTCTCCCCTACATCCCAACTCTTCCTCTTTACTGGTTACTCCCTTGTTTTGGTGGAGCACATCCTCTAGTAACCTTATTAGAAGGGTAAATACAAAGTACATTTTCTAAGGCTTTGCGCATCAGTAATTGTCTTCATTCTTAACAGTTTAGGTGAAGAAGAAATTCTACATTAGAAATTATTTTCCTCAAAATTTTGAAAGCATTGTTCCATTGTCTTATAACCTCCAAGGCTGCTGTTGAGAAATCTGATGATACGTGATTCTCAGTCCTGTGTATGTGGCCCGTGATTGTCACTGCTCCAGAGCGAGGCTCCTGTCTCTGTGCACAGGCTCTGACACCGTGTGATATGATGCCTTGATCTGAGATTTTCGTTCGTTTTCTTGAATACTTGTGGGTGTTTATAACTGAATACTTAGATCCTTCAGTTTGGGGAAATTTTCTTGAATTATTTCTTTGGTGATTTTTCCTATCTCTTTCTAGGTCTCCTAGTACTCAGACATTGTAACTACTGGTCTGATTCTCTAATTTTCATACTTTTTATCACCTCTTAATCCATTTCTTTTTGTTCCACTTTCTGTGAGATTTTCTCAATTTAATCTTCAGCCCTTCTATAAATATTTTACTTTTCCTATCAGATTTTTATTTTCAAAAGTTCTGCTTCTTCTTTGAGTATTGTTGTTTATAGCCTTCTGTTCTTTTATGTATCCAGTTTTTTTTTTTTCATCTCTTAACTCTCTAAAAATATTAATGACAGGTTTGTTTTTTTTCCTAACCTTTTTCCTGCTCCCTGCATTGTCTTCTTCTTTTCTTTTCTTTTTTCCCTCTCCCTCTTTGGTTTACTTAGTCTGTGGTATTAGACGCATCCTTATAATTCCGGATGCTTGTTGGCTGGCATATAAAAAGTGCCGCATCTTGGGCTATCCACCTGACTGCCGGGCTTCTAGGACCTTATTCAGGGGAAGAAGCAGGCGGTGGAGGTCGTCTGCCTCTTAGTATGTAGGTTTCCCCTTTCTCCCCCGTTTCAGTATGCAGCTCATCCCTCTGTTCACCTCTTGAGAGGATGAGCATCCAACCCATTTCCAGAGCACAGGACGCAGCTCCTCACCGAGAGGGTGGGGCGGAGGGCATCGCAAAGCCAGCTGCTGCTTGCGAAGACTCTCAACCTTCAGCCCCACTCGCCACCCTCCCCAGAGCCCCACTGCAGAGGGGTTCAGCCTCTCCACGTCCTAAGCGGTCTGCAGTGTGGGTCGGCTTGCTTCTGGGGGGCTCCCCTCTGTCAGTCACCACGCTCGTCTCCAGGATGACGGTGCGCGCTCTACTATCTCTGTCCTGGTGGGTTTATGCTTTAAAAATCCTTCTACTGTCATTTAAGAAGAATTCCAGAGAAGAGAGAGGTAAATGCATATGCTCAAACTGCCATATTTAATCCAAAGACTTCCTGTTTTTTTGTTGTTGTTTGTTTGTTTTTTATCCTCACCCGAGGACATTTTTGCATTTATCTTCAGATAGAGTGGGAGGGAGATGGGGGGGAAGAGAGAGAGAGAGAGAAACATCAACGTGAAAGAGACACATCGAGTGGCTGCCACCCACATGACCCAACCAGGGCCGGGACAAACCGCAACCGAGGTACATGCCCTTAGCGGGAACCGAACCCGGGTCTCTCCAGACCGCAGGCCAATGCTCTAACCACTGGGCCAAACCGGCCAGGGCAAGACTTCCTGTTTTTAATACTCGTGTTTATGTTTATAATTTTAGAACTTAAAAAAATGAATGTAGCCAAATTGTGTGATTTATGTGTGCATCCGGGTTCCCGTGGCCAGTGGTCTAAAAGGGCAGTTGCTCCGGCTGGCAGCATTAGCGTCGGCTGGGAACTTTTAAAAAGACAGATTCTCGGAAATGCTGTGGGGAAGCCAGGAATCCATGTCTGAACGAAGCCTCTGGGCGGTTCAGATGCTTTGCTAGAGTTTGAGAACCACTCCTGCCGGTGCTGAAGGGGTTCTGAACAGCCGGGAAACACTGCCCTCCTCTCAACCTCAGCTCTGATCCAGCCCTTCAAATCCGTGCCCAGCAGGACAAAAGAGCAGGTTTGAGAAGACACCCTCTAGCAGGTGTCATCCTCTCCTGCGAGAAAACGCTTGTGGGCGTAAATGCTTTCCTCCAGGGCACCTCGCTGCTTCCTGCCGCACCGGCTTGGGCCGGGATCCCTGAGACCCGGCGCCGTGTGAGAAGAGATGGTCGGGTGGAGAAGTGTGGGAGGAGAAATGCTGCAGGCTGGTCCCTCTTCCACACCTCCAGCCATCAAAAAGTTGGAAGAGGAGCCTCCAGCTTCCCTGAGGGCAGGGAGCCTCGGGGACCCCCCTGGAACAGGGGCATTCTTGTTCTGAACCGTGGGGTGTTCTTCACCTGCCATTGCCTTCCGCCCGCAAGACAGCAGAACGCTGCCAATCAGGCAACCACACACATGCCCCCACCCCGCCCCTCCTCTGAGTCCCTCTGTCTGGGTCGTCTCCTTCCCTCCCCTTCCCCCCTGGGGGACGCCCTTGGTACAGTTTCCTTTGGAGCATCACAGCAGCTCTCCCTCTGAGCCCTTCCCCCTCCCTCCCAGGTTTGTCTTCACTGCCATTTATACCCTGGAAGCCTTGATCAAGATAGTGGCAAGAGGATTCTGCCTAAACGAGTTCACGTACCTGCGAGATCCTTGGAACTGGCTGGATTTCAGCGTCATTGCCCTGGCGTGAGTATTTCTCGCCACTGATTTGTTTGTGCATCTGTGTGGGGCCTGTGGGTGTGCCCAGGCTCATGCTCTGGGCTGTTTCCTTCTCTCCATCCAGCTTCCTCCTTTGAAACTGCATGGCCTGGGGTTTTGTCGCCACCGACTGTGGCTTTGGGAGTCGCTTTCCAGGGTTAGTCCCATAGCCCCAGGGAGAAGTCAGAGGCCTCAGATCTGAGCTGGTAACTGGCCTGTCAAGGTTGCTCCGAGGGGCTCAGCCTCGTACCTACCGGCATGAAGGTCTTTCCCTGAGGAACCAATGTCTGCAGAGACTGGCTGGCCAGGCCCACATGCCTGAACACCCATTCACCCACGTGGCACAAGGGACCCCTAGCCCACCGTGCCTCTTCCCAAAGGGGCCCTCCGGAGAGCTATTGTGACAATCCAGTCAGGGTCTGTAGGTGGAGGTGCTATTCTGTCTATTCTGGGTGCTTCCGAGGCTCATGTCACCCCCAGTTGTCCTTATCAATGCTGCAGAGATGCTGACTGACTTCTGGTCCTACAGATACATTGGCAGAACTGCTCTCCAAGGGTTCTCAGGCCTGCGGACCTTCAGAGTTTTTAGAGCTTTAAAAACAGTTTCCGTGATCCCAGGTGAGCTGCTTTAACCAGCACCTTGATTCACTGAGCATGTGTGGTGTCCACAGCATAGTGTCCTCCTCTGATTTTTCACAAGAGCCCTATAAAGTTCCAGGGCATGGGCCCTTGTCCCCACTTACAAGAAAAAGAAACTGAGGCCCAGAGAGTAGAAAACACAATCACAAGTCCTCATCGCTGGTCAGAGGCAAAGTGTGACCTGGAAACCTCATGTCTTGATTCCTCGTCCAGGTCTCTGTCCCCAGGACCTCATGGTCTCACCATCGGTAGATGACAAGAAGGTCATGTCCTCATTTCATGTTCTTGTTGTGAAGGTCAGGCAGGCCTCCATCTAGTCAGATCCTCATTTATACCTTAAACCAAAGGTTTAAGCTTGGAAATAAATAGGGAGGAAGGGAGAAGGCAGCCTGGGGCTCTGGTGAGTGTCTTCGCCATTCCCATAGATCTGAAAGCGGAAGCTCAGGCCTGTCTTTAGATGCACAGAGGAAAGAAAGGTAAGGTGACTCTTGATTACAGAGGACTCAGAAACACAAGTAGATCACCAGAGCTCATCTCATTGGGCCTCCAAGATCCCCATCATCATCAGGAGCCCCGAGGAGATTCCCTGGTCTTTCCCAACGTCCCCACTCCCCACCCATCCCATCCCCATCCCCAGGCTTGGGTTAGGGGCTGCTCCTGTGTGTGCCCACCTGCCCAACAATGCTATGGAGTTCCCCCTCCGTTGTCACACAACTCCACCACATGCCAGCTCCCAGCCCAGGGACCAACACAAGTAGTGTAGTGCTTAGCAGGTTATTTGTTGACCAAATGACAAGGCAAGGATTGATCTCAGACTGCTTCCCTGGGTGGAGGTCTTTCTACTGCCCTTGAAGCTGCCCTCCCAGAGAAGGTGATTTGTTAGCCAGAGCAGCAATCTTCCTTCCTTAAACAAGCTGCGAGCTGTGATTGGCTCTGAGATAGCCCCGCCCCCTCTCAGATTCTCTGTTTCCAGTGTCTTTCATGCTCTTACTCTATTGTCTGTGTTTGTGTCTATCTCTTTTCTATCTCATTCTATCTCCCTTGCTCTCTCTCTCTCTCTCTCTCTCTCTCACACACACACACACACACACACACATACACACACACACACAAACTGAGGTTCATGAGTCCCCAGACTCAGGCTTCTCCCAGGACTCAAGTGAGTACAGAAAGGCAGAGGCCAAACAACCAGAATGAAGTTAGTAGCCTCATGATCAGCACACTGCCTGGAGCATAGCAGGTACTCAATTCCTTTTAAAGTCAATGGCTGTTGCCAGGAATGTATCGGCCTCAAGAGGATAAGAAATGCATGGCCTGGTCTCCGTTGCCTCGTCTTCACAGTGGAACCCTAATCTTTTCTAAGTTCACATGAGGAACTAGGCTTGGGACTTCCCTAGAGTCTGTACGACGCCTCACACCTGTATGTAGTGGGAGGGCGGGAAGGCTGAGATGCAGGCGTGCCGGGCACATGTGTGTGCTGTGCGTGGTACCTTGTTCATGTGGGAGTATCGCTGCTGTCTTCCCGCAGGGCTGAAGGTCATCGTCGGGGCCCTGATCCACTCAGTGAAGAAGCTGGTTGATGTGACCATCCTCACTGTCTTCTGCCTGAGTGTCTTTGCCCTGGTGGGCCTGCAGCTCTTCAAGGGCAACCTCAAGAACAAATGTGCCAAGAATTGCACAGCTCTCAACGAGACAGCCAACTACTCCTCTTATGAAAAACGCGAGTGGGATTTCTGCCACAGTGATAAAGGTCTGGTTGGCAAGGAGTGTGAAGTCCCTGCACACCTGTAGAGAAGTATATTTTGAGTCCTCTTTCCTGTTCAAATGCTTTTCCTGAGTTGCATTTTACCTTTGGATTTCCCATTTGCTACCAAATGTCCAAGGAAATGAGCTATAAATCCAGGGGCAAGTCATTCTGCCTCTGCCAGGAGAGGCTTGGAGCTGAAGTCATTGCTTAGCTTTTCTCTCCCCAGATGGGGCTTTTTCCCTTCCAAGGGTCCCGCATGTCCACTGAGTGCACAGAGCCGAGGAAACTCACCTCACTGGGGCAGAAGACTTACAAGGTGCTGCTTCACCACCCAAGGCTTGAGTTTTAGGATTCAGAACCATATGCAAAGCTTCCATTTCTTGCTTTCTTTTGCAGACTATTACATCAATAAGCCAGGCACTTCTGATCCCTTACTGTGCGGCAATGGATCTGACGCAGGGTGAGTGTCCAATCCATGTCATAGCTCCCATGCCCAGCAGTCCTTTTTCCTTCTTGTCACCAGGATTTTCTGGGCAGAGACTGGGTACAGGTCCTGAAGAAAATGTAGAAATGAATAAGTCATGGCTTCTGACATCCCAGGCCTATGGGGAGAGAATGTACGAGTTAGCTTCTACTATGTAACAAACAACCCCAGGATTTTGTGGCTTAAAACACCAGCCATTTATTTAACTCAGGATTCTACACATCGGCATGTTGGGCTGAGATCAGTGGGGTGTTCTGGCATTGACTGGACTTATTCATGCATCTTCAGAGGCAGATTGGCTGGAGCTTGGCTGACCTGGGATGGCCTTGGCGGGGGTAGTTGGTCTCTGCTCCATGTGGTCTCTCATCCTCCAGCAGGCTATCCTGAGCTTGTTCTCATGGCAGAGTCAGGGTTCCAAGAAAAAGTGTAAATGTTCTCTAGAGGCTTAGAATTGGCATAATGTAACTTCTACTGCGTTCTGTTGACCAGAGAAAGTCACAGGTCAATCCAGATCCAAGGGGGTAGATAAATAGATTCCACTTTTTTGTTGTTGAGGAAGGGAGGGAGGGAGAGAGAGAGAGAGAGAGAGAGAGAGAGAGAGAGAGAGAGAGAAACATCAATGTAAAAGACACATCAATTGGTTGCCTCCTGCATAAGCCCTGACTAGAGCTTAGGACCAAATCTGCAACCCAGGTACATGCCCTTGACCAGGAATTGAACCCACCAACCCTTTGGTTTGCAAGCCAACTCTCTAACCATGGAGGCACACCGGCCAGGGCTAGACTACACTTTAAAAAAAAATTCTTTATTGATTTTAGAGAGAGAGGAAGAGAGAGAGAGATAGAAACATCAATGAGTGAGAACATTGATTGGCCACCTCCTGCATGCCCACACTGGAGATCGGGCCCACAACCTAAGCATGTGTCCTAAATGGGAATGAAACTGGCGACCTCTTGGTGCATGGGTCGACGCTCAACCACTGAGCCACACAAGCTGGGCTAGACTCCACCTTTTGATAGGAGGAGCTGCAACATTACATTGCAAAGAGGTGCAGACACAGGGAGGAGAATAATTGTGGCCATTTTTACCATCTATCCTAGGAAGGAACTAATATTTGTTAAATATGTTTTGTGTCAGCTGCTCCAGATCTAATCATCACAACTCCATCACATGGCTTCACTGTCCTCACATAACAGAGGGAGAAGCACATGCATCAGACTTTGAAATTCTTACAGAGGCCAGACACATAACAAATGAGAGTAGCAGGCGGGGCGGGACCCATGGCAATGGGAGTTCATGCCATCTATAGGATAGGGCTGGGACGGTGAGTAGAGGCCAGCTCAGGACAACGGCGGAGTGAGCCCTGAGGGGCATGTCACGAAGACAAAACCTGGGCCCTGTGCTGGGCTTCAGAGAAGCAGAGCCCTGGGCGAAGGCCCGCGCTGACCAGTGGCCCTGTGGCAGGAGAGCCCGGGTGTCAAGGTGGAAAACACACCCTGGGAAACGCTGGATGGTTTTCAGCATTCTTTCACATACATTATTCCAGCTCATCCTTCCGGTAGCTTCAGGTTAAAAGCAGCAGGACTTTTAATTTGCATTTTATATATCACAGTTGCTATGCTGGAGGCGCCATGCAAGAGGCTTTGCACACAGTCTCGTAGTTCACAGGGCACTTAGCCCTCGAGGTGCAGCAGCGACCGTGGGGTGCTACGGACGGCATAGAAATAAGGCTGAGAAATCAGAGTTCACTGGCAAACCTCCAGGTGATGGGTGGACTAGCTCCTTGGGAGAGCAAACCAAGAGGCTGTCTATAAATGTGAATCTACAATATCTGGGAACCAAGGTTGGAGATACGATTGGGATTGATTATAATCAAGTTGCCAGGACCCTGGTGAAGTGTGTGGAGCCCGGGCTCAGTGTTCACATGGATGTCTGAAATAAGGAGAGCCCCAGAGGCTGGCATTGGCAGGCGAACCCTAGAGCAGTAAAATCCAGAACACCAACGCGGCATCACTCTTCCCTTCATCAGGTCGCCCCTCGAGGGTAGATGACAGAACCTCAAATGCCCTGAGCTTGGGGACATTTCTTGACATCAACTTTCCCCCTTATTAAAAGACAGAAGACTCTTCCCTGGCCAGTTTTGCTCAGTGGTTAAAGCATCAGCCCACGGACCAATGAGTCACGGGTTCGATTCCAGTCAAGGGCATGTACCTCAGTTGCAGTTCGTCCCCAGCCCTGGCCGGGGTCGTGTGGGAGGCAACCACTCAATGTGTCCCTCTCATGTCAATGTTTCTCTCTCTCTCTCCCCCTCTCTCCCCCTCTCTCTCTCACTCTATTTATCTGAAGCTAAATAGAAAAATATCCTTGGGTGAGGATTAAAAAGAGAGAGACAGAGGACCCCAGCCGTCCCACCCAATGCTCACCAAGCATTCATCTTCAATTTGACCTTCCTTCATAGGTCAGTCTTCATAGGCTACTTTTGAATAAAGACATTGGCGTCTGTGTGGTTTTAGGAATTGACCTCTCTCTGAACCTCAGCTTCCATGTCTGTAAACAGGATATGGAGACAATTAAATTACAGCATTTGTAAAGCATTTAGGGCAGAGAGCGGCACACAGTAAGTGCTCAGTAAGTGGAAAATGTTGCTTTCATTGTTATGTATAATTGGTCAGTGAACTTGGCTGATGTGAGTACTTCTTTAATAGACAATTCTGCAGGTGATGCCAACAGGCTCAGGTTCTGTCTGTGTTATTGTTACCGGCTCTCCCTCCCCTGGTGTGAATTACAAAGAGCTTGTCACCGTCTGTGGTCACGTCTGAGCAATCTGCTGACCTTCCCCAGGCCACTCCCTTCTGCATGAAACTCTGAAGTGACAACATCTCTGTTTAATGGGCAGGAGGAACTGAGACCTAAAGAGACTAAGTGTCCAAGGTCATCCGACTCAAAGAGGAGGTTCAGGCCTTGAACGCCAATCTTTCCACAGCCCCGGGCGGCCTTGCCCCCAATAAGCAGGGTGCTGTGCAATGGATGACCCTCTCTGTTCTTGCTGCAGCCACTGCCCTCCAGGTTACTTCTGCCTGAAAACATCTAGCAACCCAGATTTTAACTACACCAGCTTTGATTCCTTCACTTGGGCTTTCCTTTCTCTCTTCCGCCTCATGACTCAGGACTCCTGGGAACGCCTCTACCAGCAGGTATGGATCTGCATGTCCACATACTGACTCTGTTGAAGGCTAAGGGGTCGGCTTCAACATGGCTATGCTGTTCCTGGAGGAACCTGATGATGCCAGGGTCCCATCTACTCTGGATATATGTCTCTCTTCTTTCTCTTGAATCTGCAGACCCTGAGGGCTTCTGGGAAAATCTATATGGTCTTTTTCGTGATTGTCATCTTCCTGGGATCTTTCTACTTGGTCAACTTGATTTTGGCTGTGGTCACCATGGCATATGAGGAGCAGAACCAGGCAATGATTGCTGAAATTGAAGCCAAGGAGAAGAAGTTCCAGGAGGCCCTCGAGATGCTCCAGAAGGAACAGGAGGTCCGGGAGGGGGGGAAACTTCATAACGTCTGCTGCAGGCTGTATATTCTTAGGCAGAGGTCTGGACCAGTCCCTTAGATTAAGGCTGCCATTCTTGAGAACTTTTGGATGATTCATCTTACCTCAGGGACTATCCCCAAGTGAAGATGTCAGGCAAGTGATTTATTGAGGGATGCTCTCGGAAGAAGGTGACGAAAGGAAGCAAGATAGGGTAGGGGAAGAGTTAAATGAGTAAGCGGCCTCAGCTAGAGACTACATTCAGCCTGATCTCACAGAGCCCTGGGGCATGACTTGTACCACAGAGTCAGTCCTACCAACTTGAAGCAAGGGGGCCACCTTTTGACCCCCACACCTGCCCCAGCCAAATGTATAGTCAAAGGAAACTTTCCACAGAGTGCTGCAGCTATAAGCCATTAGCCTAGTACTCAAGCAGCTGGAGAGGAGTGCACTAACCAGGTCAAAGGTATCTGGGCAGGTCATCAACAGGGTCTCCTCCATGGTGTGAATGTGGGAGTTGACTCAGAGGTAGCTCTTCCTGCCATGTCTCCATCCTGCCACTACCTAGGTCCTAATCCCGACCTCCTCTGCTTCAGACGCCCTCACCTCTGTGCCATCCCACCTCCGGGGGACACATGTATGCTAAGCTCAACCAGATACTGTTGGCTGCAGCTGCTGTTCTCTCTCCGCAGGCGCTGGTAGCAATGGGGGTCGACACAGCCTCTCTCCTCTCCCATGATGGATCACCTTTAGCCTCCAGAAGTGCCAGTGGGAAAAGGCGCAGAATGAAGCCAAAGGTGTCAGAGAGCTCCGCAGATGACAACAAATCACCCCACTCTGAGCCTTACAACCAGCGCAGGATGGTAAGGGGCTCAGGTTTGTGCTCGAAAGATGACCCACGTTTTCAGCTGTCATGGACGGTCGGTTGAAGTGGGAAGAGGTTTATAACAGGAAGACAGCTGGAGGCAGACATTAGGAGTGGGTTTCAGCCCTGGCCAGTTTGGCTCAGCGGTTAGAGCGTTGGCCTGCGGTCCGGAGAGACCCGGGTTCGGTTCCCGCTAAGGGCACGTACTTCGGTTGCAGTTTGTCCCCGGCCCTGGTTGGTCGTGCGGGTGGCAGCCACTCGATGTGTCCCTTCACGTCGATGTTTCTCTCCCTCTCTCCCTTCCTCTCTCTCCCTCCCACTCTATCTGTACAAAAAATGGAAAAAAATATCCTCGGGTGAGGAGTGGGTTTCAGTCCTTCAGACCCCCAAAATTGCGGCCTCTTCCAGGACAGGGACATTGTGGATGGGAAAAGGAGGTGGATTACAAAGGCTTTGATGGGTTGGAGTGGGATCAACAAGACTGGGACTGTGGGGCGTGGGAAAAGGGGAGGAGTTGAAAATGACTTCCAGATTGCAAGATTGGACAATTAGGTGGGTGGTGATTCTAAGACAGGAGCACTGGGGGAAGAAGCCAGGTGTATAGGAAAAGTGATGAACCCATATTGGGCATGAAAACTTTGAGGTGTCTGTGGACCTGTGGATATCAAGGGTCGGCTTCCTTCTGACACACTGATCTGCAATTCTGGAACAGGGATGGATGTTCTTGTCCATGGTGCTGAAATCATTTCCAAGCTTCTTTCTGATTTCATGCCTTAGCCTCTGTAGCTCAAATACCCACCTGTTGTTGCCACAGAAGATACCAGCACTCATCTCTGTGATGCAGTCCAGTCTAGGAATAACTTGAGTAATTTGCTTCAGATCCTATAGCAATTCTGCCCCACACCATAACCTCTCCCTCCCACTCTGGGATTCACTGTACTCACCAAGCTTCCTCCCACCACATCTCTCTCCCTTCAAACTCTGGTGTACCCCACATATGTCCTTTCCACAGGCATAAGATACTACCCCTTTTGTGACAATAGTTCCAACCCAATCTCTTTTTCTGTGGTCATCAGAATATTCTATTTTTAAACACCATCTGTACAACCCCCAAACTTATGTGTGCATATAAGTATCCAGACACACTCACATGCACACTGGCCTCAGAGACATCCATACTTCAGCATTTATCAGAGATTGTGTCCTTCATTCTTTGCTCTGCTTCTTGAACAACAACTGGCATGCACAGGGCACAGTCCAGAAGATGGTTCTGTGGGGATTTGACAATCATAGAACAGATGAATCACAGCTTCCATGGAAATGTCAATGATACTCTGAATTAGGCTTTAATTTCCCCCATTCCATCAGCCCCACATAAATCAGCACCTGGATTTCTAATCATTGTTTGGTGTGTGTGGTTGTCTTTCCAGCTAGGCTCACCTTCAAAGGAATAAAAGAGGAACTATGTCTTGTTAATTCAACAATACTAGATGCTTGGTATAAAAAGATGACTAAAACAATGACTTTCCCAATGACTTCCATTCAGAAGGAGGTGGCAGATAGCAAAACAGCACACTCTTACAGGGACGGGTGTATATCAGGAAAAGCTTCACTGGGGGAGGGAATGATTGAAATGACTAGTAAATAGTGACTAGGGGATCCTCCAGTAATTGAGGGCTGAGAGGGTTTGGGGAGGCATATTTTCCAGGCACAAGGAAGAAAATGTACAAACAAAGACAGGAAGGCACCATTTGGTAATTCTTTAATGATAATTTATTAATTGGAGTTCATTCAATAAGGCATCCCCTTCCCCTTTCCCCAGATATATTCATGTGGTAGATAGATTCTAGGCAGTTTTTATGCAAAGCCATTGTCTTACCATCAGAAACGAGAGAATGGTTGGGGGTAGCTAGGAGAGATACAGCCAGGGTTTCAGGGAAACCGGTTGGCCTGCTTGGATGCATTTTAAGGCAAGTCTAATACTTAAAGTCAGAAGTCATTGCCCACAAAAGGTTAATTCTGAAATACTAATTGGTGGATAAGGAGGCTCTCCTGTCAAATATAGACCCAACATTTTCTTCTTAATTTCTTCACTGGTTTACTTAGTGCCCACATTCACATAACTTGATTGTTCGATCTCTAACAAGGATTTACTGACTCTGCTCCTTTGCTTCCGAAGTGGGAAGGCTTTGTGGGTTTCTGTGAGTTCCATAGACCTTGGACATATATTCGAGGCAAAGAGTGCTCTGTTTATATTATCAGGATTGCAAAGATGGTTGCTGAAGGGCATTGGGCTCAAAGTATCAAAAAAGGAAACTTCAGTTCTGCAGGATAAGGGGAAAAGCATGAAAAGTCTAACTTACAAGATGCCCCAATGTTAGTAGTTTAGTAAATTAAAGGAATTTTCAACGTAAAAAAAATGTCCAAACCTGTAGGAAATTTTTATGAGTTTATTTGAGCCAAATTGATGACAATTGCTGGGAAGCAAAATCTCAATGATTTGAGAAAATGCTCTGGAAAATGGCCGTTTACCACTTGGTTTATACATCAGAATCAAAGGGGAAGAAGTAAAGGGGTTACATGAAATCTGTGGGTGAGAGATTAGGGAGGTGGGAGACAGAAAAGTTGGGAAATCTCTAAGACTAGATAAAAAGTAAAATGAGCCTGGCCAGTGTGGCTCAGTGGTTGAGCATCGACCCATGATGCACCAAGAGGTCGCTGGTTTGATTCCTTGTCAGGGCACATGCCCAGGTTGTGGGCCAAATCCCCAGTGGGGGGCAGGCAGAAGGCAGCCAATCTATGTTCTCTCTCATCGATGTTTCTCTCTCTCTCTCCTTCTCCCTTCCACTCTCTCTAAAATCAATAAAGAAAAAAAATTTTTTTTTAAGTAAAATGAAGGACACATACTTCTTAGACATTGGTGGATGCTGGACAGTTAACACTTACAGCAGCACATAGAGATGGTATGCAGGAGAACAAGGTATCGATGAGCGGTTTTGTGGTTTCGTGGTCTTGTGGGAGATTATGTCCTGAGGGGTCTAGAAAAAGGGAATTACTCTGACATTCCAAAACGATGTTATCGTAGTTGTAAAAGGATGATAGACAGTTTCAGTTAAGGTAAAAATCGAGCTTTGTCAAGGAAGATACCAGCCTCAGACACGACTACCTGCCATGACTCACCTTTTGTTAAGAAGTTTTCATTTCAGACCGTCTTCTGTGGTTCCGGTAGGTCTCTGAGTATGTGAGGCCACCATGCAGGCCTCCCCTGAGCGTGTCGGAGTTAGCATCTGGCCCCTTTTTCATCCACAGAATTAAGGAAGGGGGAAATTTTCAGCAGTATGATCAGAGTTTGGTAGGAAGTCAGTGTTTAGATTTTAGAAATACTTTATATGACCTAGGGACATAAATGGTAACTTGTTATGGTCAGTTTCCCTCCGTGGCCAACCCAGCATCCTAACTCTCCAGGGACTCTGGGCCTATGAATTAGCCCCTCTTCTCTGACGACTGTAAGCCACGGTTTCCTGAGAGGCTGATTTTGATGGGAAATGTTTATTGATTTGAAGGAAAGTCATTGTTCTTCCAGGAAATTAGGCTGTAACTCTCCCTTCAATCTCCCCATTGTCGACTGTTCAAAGTTTGCCTCAAGGGATCCTGGAAGCTCATTACATTACAAAACTCTTGTCTCCTCCTTGGCAGCACACAAAGTCTGAATCTAATGAATTGTAGAACCTAATTTTCAGGCAATAAAGTGCACTCGGTCATTCAACAACCCTTTTCGAAGCATGTTCCAGAACTGGCGCGCATAACCGAGTCCGCTTAGGTCACAACTCCGCGTGGAGCAGCCCGGTGGCCGAAGGCTGGCAAGCAGTGGGCATCCGACTGAACCCCAAGCTTGTCCGTGGCCGGGTGGACCTATCTGCTGATCTTCAGCACCCTGTAATCTCTCATCTCTCTTGGCTTTTTTCCCCAGGTTATGTCAAGAATATTCTCCCCTATTCTCACCCCACGTTTCGCTGGAATACCCGTTAGAGCTGTGCGCCTCACTGGCTGCTAGGTCCTGAGAATAAGGGCAGGGAAGGGGGAGAGAGCAGAGGGAGGTGCTGAGCTCCAGGTCTTCCTGAGGACTAGCTTTCAGCCCCCTCCTTTCCTGCCCCTCTGGGTCAATGCCCAGTCTTTCCTAGGTCTCACCTCTGGGAGACGCCGGGCTAGCCATGGCAGTGTGTCCCTCTTCCGGACCCCTGTCGGAGACGGCTCATTCCCTGATGGGGTCACAGATGACGCAGTCTTTCTTGGAGACCACGACAGCCGTCGGAGCTCCCTGCTGCTGGGTGGAACTACCAGCCAGCAAGGCCCTCTCCCTAGGAGCCCGCTACCTCAACCCACCTACCCTGGGCCAGGACACGGAGAAGATGGACACCCCACATCGTCCCCTGGGGAGCTTGGACCTAGACTCACGGAAGGCTCGGTGAGTTTGTGAACATTCTAGACTCTTGGGGGCTGCTCTCCAGCTTAGAGACCGTGGGCCAAGAAGCCCTGAGAGTCACCCATGAAGGGTCCATTAGATATTTTTCTTCCCAACACCTCGCATCTACCCCCTTTTTACCGACAAGGCAAGTGCGACCCAGAGAGAGAGATTGGGTTTTCCCAGGTCAAGCGGGTTTTCTGGTTTACTCTGCACAGATTACTTTCCAGCTGATCCCACATCTTCTTCAGGGTTTCTCTGTCCCGACTCACTACCACTGCTTTAGCAATAGGCCTGCTTGCTCCCTGGATAAGCAGGAGAAACATGGAAGTTTCTCCCCCTGCCTGTGGCTCTGTACAAACTCCCCTGGGCTTGGAAAATGGGACCCAGAGAAATCCTGGGAGGTGCCCTGGACAGATCTTAGCAGAAGCAAAGTATCCCTTGCCTTCCTCAGCGAAGCAATAACCCGCCGAAATGCACAGCGTAGGCAACGTGACTGAACAGCCAGCGATCTTAGCAAACCACAGCGCGTAAGGCCAAAGCGAGGACTCCGCGCTGGATCGGGGGCCGTGCCGTCGTGCGAGCTCCCTGTCCGGCCGCAGGAACGGCGCTGCTGGGGTTTTTCAGTTGCCTGCTCTGGCTGGCCGCCGACACCCAGCGGCTGTGAGCAGCTGACTTGTGAACAGTTCGCTGTGCGGCTCTTCTGACCTGGATAAATCGGAGTCCCTCCACTCCATCCCTGGTGGGACGCCAGCAGGAAGCAGACGAGCCACCGTGATGGCAACTGGACAGAGAGTGGCGGAGTAGTCACAGAGAGCTGGGCAGGGCCCGGGCACTCAGCGGGGACAGTGAGGTCTCCAGTGACCAGCAGCCGAGGCTGGAGGGTGAGGGACAGGGCCCGGACCAGGACCCAGCAAGAGCGTCCACTCTGTGTGAGAAGCAGCCTGAGAGGACTGTGGTCTCAGGTGGAGAACTGAAGCCACAGCCCCACAGGGGAGAAGCCAGGTGGTAGATGCTGGGCTCCTCTCTCCTCCAGCTCTGGTCCTACTGAGCCTCCCACTGGCCAACCCCAACGAGAACCAGAGGGTGAGGGGGAGGCCGGTGTACAGCTCACCCTCCCCAGGCACAGAACTGGTCTCCAAGGACAACCAAGGAAACACCAGAAGATCCTAAGTCAAAGCCAGTCTGCAGGCCCCCCTCGGAGGTGCTTTAACTTTCTAGAAAATGCTTCATTCCAGAAACCTTGTTGACTCCGGATTACCACTTTCCTAGACATTCCGACATTGATGCGTTTCCCTTAAATAATTTGGCTCGTGCAGGATTAAGTCTCTAAGCCCTTCTGTGTCACACGAACCTGGGTTTCCATCACAGCTGTATCACTTACCGTCACCTTTAGCAAGTCCCTTACAGTCTTCAAGCCTCCATGTCACCCTCGTAAAAAGGCTTCGAAGTAGGCTACATTTGCACGCATGTGTCTGACAAATGACAACGTATCAGCTAGCATCTGTGGTTGAGTCCTCATGGTTGGAAACTTTCTACATTTTCTTTATCTGTATGAAGCACTTACTGTATACCTACGAGCTTCACCTGTGGTAGGTGCCCAGTAAGAGCTCTTTAGATTTGGATTCTGAGTGGTTTGTGCGGTGCTGAGTCAGCCGCTGTGAGCCTCAGATCCCCCACGTCCCGGAGTGTGTGTGACTAGAGTTAGGGACCTGGCACAGAACCCAGTCAGAACTTCTGATTGAAGGCACAAAAAGGGAAACGTCCAAAGGACTGCATCAGACGACTAGAACTGGACAGTTGACACACAGATGTTCCCTCAGAAAGAAAGAGATTGTGTGCAGTTAGAACCCGGGTTGTATGTGGGAGGGAAATGGGTCTATGAGAAGGGAGGTGCAGGAGGTGTCTCACGGAGTGGGAGTTCTGTGTGGATGTCATACGCATTCACAGGGGACGTCTCATAACGACTGCCTGGCCTGCTGCCACTTCGTCCTTTGGTAGAAACCTGTCCCACCCTGATGCCCAGGCCCCTCTCCTAGAGCAGGGGTTTGCAGAGCCTCAGGTGAGCCCAGGTCACTCTGTTGGCTGCACACCTGGGCTCTGGCTGACCCAGCTCTGTGACCTGCTTGTCATGCTCAAACTCTTACGCAAGTCCAAGCAGCAGCCCATTTCTCCAAGCAGGACTGCTGAGGATCACGCGTCACTGGGCAGCTCACAGCTGCACGGACCGGCCAGTGAGAGGCTGAGTGGCCTCTCCTCGCCGCTGCGGGCTTCAGGCGGGGGCAGTGCCCTGACTCTGTTTGTGTCCCAGCAGGCGCTTGAAGCAGGAGAAAAGAAGACTTTCTTATCAGCGGAATACTTGAACGAACCCTTCCGAGTCCGAAGGGCGATGAGTGTGGTCAGTATCATGACCTCCGTCCTTGAGGGTAAGTGCTTCTCATTGGAGGGTCACTGTCATGAATCCCCATGTGGGCAGCAGGGGGATGTCCCAAACCTGTGTCAAAGGGCACCCATGCCTGTGTCTTGGGATCCTAAACATTCCTCTTTTTTATGCCTTTGGCCCATCACCCTTAGTCAATGTGGGGGTTTTTAAATGTAGATAATTTATCAAAAATGATAGAATCCAATGGATAAAATACCCGAGTCCGTCTCTTGTTCAAAGTAACACCTGCTTCACATGTACCCACAGAACTAGGTTTTAAGAAGGTATCTGGCAGGCACCGCGCATGCCAACCTACCACTCAGGTATGCAAGAAATTGAACAGACTTTAATTTTCAAATGTGGCAAAATTATCCCGATGTTTTCCTGGCTATAACTTTTATGGTTATGACTTAATTTCTGTCTCCAGCCCCCCATTATGCTGATCTTTGGGAAACAATTTAAATAAATTAGTCAGTTTAACTAAATTCTTGTTAATTCTGGGTTTCATCAGTTGAGTGGGAATCCACTCCATCTCCTAGGGCTGCATCTGAGTTCCAGTGGCTGACACCAAGCCAAGGGGGTGGTACTAGGTCAAGGCTGCCTGACTCTCACGTTCCCAACGAGCTTGGCTGCATCCTCCTCCCCCTGAGTACTAGGCCTGTCTTCTTATCCAGCCTTTACTTTGCCTCAGTGGAAAATATGGCTTTAGTCATTTCCAGTTATTTATCTCCCCTGGACAAATGGAAAATGCCCAGGCTGGAGAAGGGAGCGTGGATGTAGGTATGTTCCCGAGAAGAGGCCCTGTGAGCTCTCCTCCCAGCCCTGGGCCGAATCCTAACTGCAGGGGAGAGCACGGAAGACAATATAAACAAACAAACAAAATGTGAGGGACTTGAAAACAGAGCCAATGTCTGCCTTACTTTCTAGGTGAAGCCAGAGGCGTCAGGCCTTAGAGGGAGACCCACATGCCCAACGTGGCACAGAAACTGTAGAGCAGAATGAGCTGCTAAGGTACCTGGGTAGAGAGGCCTGAGGCAGCCTCGGAGAGTGCCCCGTGGCCCCAGTATGCCAGGAGCCGGGAGATGACCGCGCCCCTTTGGAAACTACGGAAGGAAATGAGTGAGAGCCAGTAGGGAACCTGGAGATGCAGAGAATGGGCAGCCTCCCATCTTCAAGGCTGGGAACCTTGAAGACTCAAGGAAAATGTTCCTGGGCAATGACTAAGGACCAGCTCAACCCTCCACCTTGAGCCCCCAGAACCCTAACTCAGCCTCAGATAATAATGTTGTAGCAGGCATTGAATTGACCAAAACAAACTCCCCAGGTTGACTCCTGGAAGTGTACAGTTATGGGGGGGAAACCTTTAAGTTACATTTCTTGCATACCTGTTTGTCTTTTGAGAAATATGTACATATTCCAGTAACAACAGTGTGTGTATACTCGTGTATTATTTTTCCTTATTGATAATTACTTAAGAATTACTTTTCATTGTACGAGCATCTGCGCACCTAACATTTTTCATGACTGCATAGAATTTCACCGTGCTGCTATGCCCATAATTTTTCATTGGCCAGGTGTGTTGCTGGGAATTTTTTTTTCTCTTAGCCATCAAACAGAAAATGTTAAACACAAACAGCTTGCTTTTTCATTTATTTCCCAGAACTATCAAGCTCCCTCCTTCCCTCTTTTTTTAATGTATTCAGTCATCAACAAAACTTTGTTGAGCACCTGCCATGTAGCTGGCATTGTTCCAGGTGCTGAGGACTCAGTGGTCAACAAGACAGAAGCCTGCCCCCATGGAATGTACATCCTGGGGCCCGGGGTATACAGATGATGAGCACAAATAGATATTCAGACAGTGATAAGAAGTAAAGAAAATAATTAAGGAGGGAAGGATAAGGAGAATAAGGAGTTTCAGAAGGGGCTATTTTAGATGGGGTGGTTGTAGGAGGCTATTCTCCCTAAGGAGCTCAAAAACCTGAATGAGGTAAGGGAATCAGCCTCGTGAGGACCTGGGGTGGAGAGTCCCAGACAGACGAACTGCAAATGCAATGCATTTTGCAGGAATAAGAAAGGAATGACCAAAATGTGCCTCCTGAGCACAAGCCGGCTGAGGTCAGAACAGAGGCAGTATCAGCTGGGTGAGAGGCAGCAGAGGGCAGTAAAGAACACAGCCCCGGGGCCTGGCTGTCTTTGCATCCTGGCTGTGCACTCGTGGTCAGCTGTGCAATCTTGGGGCTCCATCAACCACTCTGTGCCTCAGTGTTCTCATCTGTGAAACAGTGAAAATATACAGTAGGTTATGAATTTCACAAGGGCAGAGGTGTATCTGTTTGGCTCGTAGCTGGATCTTCAGTACCTAGAAGAGAAGTGTGTGGCACATAGTAGGTATTCAACAAATTGTTGTTGAATAAATGGTAAATGAATGTGATGCACAAAGGTGATATGGGGGAGGGGGTGGTACTAATTTATAATGACCTGAACTGATGACAGGAATTGTCAGATATCCTTAGATAGGACAGACATACTGTGAGAGTAGACAGAAAGGCAGGAGAAACAAGACAATTTTTTTAAAGATAGTATTTTATTTACTTTTATTTTTTGAGAGAGAGAGGAAGGGAGAGAGAGAGAGAGACATCGATGTGAGAGAGAAACATGGATCAGCTGCCTCCTGCACGCCCCCTACTGGGGATTGAGCCCGAAACCCAGGCATGTGCCCTGACTGGGAATTGAACCAGGACCTCTCAGTCCATGGGACAATACTCAATCCACTGAGCCACCCCTGCTGGGCGAGAAACAAGACAATTTTAAGAGAATCAGTGTAAAGGTGACCTCAGCTTAAGTCAAAGAGGTCAAAGGGATTTTGAGCATAGAGCAGATGAGCTGTGATCTTCTCTAGTTGAACATTATATCTTCTATATCCATGCAGTCCATGAAGGATGCTTGATGCTGTCAGAACTGTGATAGAATTTACAAAGGCCACCACTTTGGGGAGTGGGAGATTGTGCCTGAGAAAGTTTGACCCAGGCCAATAAGAACTTGACCATTCCCTGAAGGAGGGAGAGGTGGATCGTCTATGCTTGGCATACAAGCTAAGACTTGACAGTTGTCCAAACCCAAAGACCAAAAGCAGGAGCACAGCAGCGAGCACCCAGTCTCTGCCCTCGAGCTGAGTGGGGGAGAAGGACCCGACACACGTTACTGCTGGGAGGCTGAGTGTCTTAAGGAGAGGTGCAGGGCGCTAAGGGAGAGACGGTCAACTTAGCCAGGGGAAAGTGACGTATCCAGATAGAAACAACAGCAAAGTCCCTGAAGCAGAAGAGAACATAACACTTGAAGAAACGAAAAAGCCTGCTGCAGTGGAGCATAGAGAGCCAGGCTCGGAATAAGGCTAGAGAGATGGACTGGGGCCAGACCCACAGGATTTCCTAGACCATATTAAGGATTTTGGACCTCATCCTAAGAGCAGTGAGGTGCCACTCAAGGATTAGAGGCAGAAGAGCTGCATTTGCATTTTATAAAGGTTACCCTGGATGCATGTAGAGAATGGGATTACGTGGGGAAGGGTGTCGTCAGGGGAACCAGTTAGGAGGACACCAGGGGAGAGAGGGCTGGGCCTGGACTCTGGAGTGGTGGCAGGGGGGATGATGGGAAATGGAGGATTTGAGATCAGGGGCATAAGATCCAAGACATGGTGGTTCACGTGGTTCTGGCATAAGCAGCTGAAGGGTTGCTGGTGCAATGACATAAAGGGAACACTTTAGGGGGAGCAGGGGGATTCACTAGGGACAAATGAGCAGAGAAGATCATGAGTTGAGTCTGGGGTATATTGGGTTTCAGGAGCCCCTGAGACATCCAGGTAGAGATGTCCTGTGGGAAGTTGGTTTTCTGATAAATAGATCTAGAGCTTGGAAGTTGAGAGTGACCCGGAGATATATAACTGAAATCAGTTGAATGCAGACAATAATTTTGAAATGGTGCAAGTGGATAGATGATGTTGAGGGAATCAGGTAAGATGAGAAGAAGGCCTGGGACTAAGTTCTAAGAAACAACAACATGTGATGATCGAACAGAAGAAATGCAGCCAGCAGAGGATGCTAAGAAGGAATGCCTAGAAATAGAAGACCCAGAGAATACAACACAGAGCCAAGGGTCTAAATTCCTTCCAGAAGAACGGAAAAGTCAAAAGAGGCAATGCTATAGAAACAAGAAGTAAGATCAAGTCACAAAAAGTCCAGGGCTGTAGTCACGAGGGTGTCTTTGGTGACTGAGCGAGAGAAGATTGGTGGAGTAGAGGAGTAGGCAGAAGCCACACTGGAGGGGGTTGGAGAACAAATGAGAATGAGGAAGTGGAGATATTATGTATAGACAACTTTTTCAAGAAGTTTTTCTGTGAAGAGAAGGAGACAGTAAAATAACCGTATGGTGTAAGTAGAGTTGAGGGAAGATTTTTTTGGTTTTCTTATGTGGCTTTTTAAAAAAGACATTTACATGCTAATGGGGAGGATCTGTGAGAATGGAAGAGATTGAATGTATAGGAAAGAGAGAGAATGTTCCATAGAGTCTTGAAATGGCTAGCAGGAGAGAATGCACAAGTGGAGACATTGGCTGTTAATGAAGGGGGGCACCTCTTTAAAAATAACAGAGGAGCCCTGACCAGTTTGGCTCAGCAGTTAGAGTGTGGGCCTGTGGACCAGAGAATCTCAGGTTTGGTTTCCACTAAGGGCACATACCTCGGTTGCAGTTTGTCCCCAGCCCCAACTGGGGTCGTGTGGGTGGCAGCCACTCGATGTGTCTCTCTTACATCGATGTTTCTCTCTCTTTCTCTCTTCCTCCCTCTCTCCCTCCCACTCTATCTGAAGATAAAAGAGTCCTCAGATGAGGATAAAAATAATAATAATAATAGTAATATAATAATAATAACTGAGGAAAGTTCTTTCTGGAATAGTTTTGTTTTGTTTTTGTTTTGTTTTTTGGTGTTGTTGTTTTTTGCAAAAGACTCTTTGGGGGAGGAACCATGATCCTGTTGCAAGCTAGCAAGTGCATGATTCTTTTAGCTTCTCTCTCTCCCTAGATGATCAAGATCAGCAGAGTCGGGCCTGTTTACAAGGCTGAGTCTCTTCCTGTCCTGCCTCACAGACAGGCTGCTTCCTGCCACAATGGCGTCTCTGCAAGATTTCTCTCTCAGCACTACTTCCTGTGCTTCTTTTTAGTGCCAGAGAGAGAAGTGGAGAGGGGGAGATGGAGGTTGGAGGAGAGAGGAGGAAGTGGGAAATAGTAGTCTGCAAGGCTGAAGGAGTGGACTGAAATAGAGAAACGTGGCAGCATTCCTGGGCAGTGACCAGCTGGGGCTCATGAATCCCTAGTGGGACCAGTCAACATAGTTGTATGCCTTTTCCACCCAGGGTAGCTGGTCAGGTGCAGCTGCAGAGTCGTCTGGCACTGGGTTTATTCAGAGTCGGGGTCCTGCCAGACAAGTACAATGAGGGGGAAGGGCAAGGGAATTGAAGGTGTCTGCAAAGGAATAGATAGAAGGGTGGACATGAACTCTAACTTAGGTAAGTTGAGAAGTAAAGACATGATATAGGTGATGAACAGTTATAAAGTGTAGGGTCCATGGTTTGGAAGACTGGATGGGGACAGACTGGATTGGGGTTGCTGGACTAATGGAACTTCAGAAAGTAGGAACTAGTCATCAGAGAAAAGAAGGGTTGAAGTGGAGATTGGAGGTAGTGGTTATTAGTAATGACAAGTCCAGGGGGTGGTGCTCTGAGGTGACACATGGCTGACATCTGTCATTGAATACCCCTGTGATGCAGAACTCGAGGAATCTGAACAGAGGTGCCCGCTCTGCTTGATCAGCTTGGCTCAGAAGTATCTGATCTGGAAGTGCTGCCCCACTTGGGTGAAGCTCAAGACGCTTCTGCATGGGATTGTGACGGACCCCTTCGCCGAGCTCACCATCACCTTGTGCATCGTGGTGAACACCGTCTTCATGGCCATGGAGCACCACGGCATGAACAGCACCTTCGAAACCATGTTCAATTTAGGCAACATTGTGAGTGCCTGGCAGCCGCTGCCCATGTCACCGTGGCTGGGGAGCTGCGGGTGGGGTGGTAGCGTGCCCTCGTCGGTTGGAGTATTGGTCTAGCTGAGAGCAGAGGACCAGGGTGGGAAATGTGTGGACGCTGAGCTCAGGAAGTCAGGCCCAGAGGACCAGGCTGAGCTGGACAGAACTGCTTTGGGATGAATGAGCACAGGGAAGTGGACCGAGAAAGCCCTGGCCTGGGGCAGCTAGCTCCCCCTTTCCAGAACTCAGGACAGCCTCTTGAATTCTCCTCGTCTCAGATGTCTCTACCTGAAACAAGCATAAATGTCACTTTGTTATGTAAAGATATGGACATGCCAGCTTCCTTCAAGAAAAGGAGAAACGGAAAGAGGAGGGGGAGCTTATTTCCAAGAAGTCAGCATAGACCACGGAGGGTTTTATGGAAGAGAGCTCTGGGTCCTCAGCCCCCTTTTACAGCTGGAGAGATTGAAGCGAGAGAGCGAGGCCTTTACCCCTGTGACAGAGCCCAGTGCCATTTTTAAAAACGAAAGAAGGGCAGGCATTGTTTGGTGCCTGCAAGAGTCAGGTGCCTTATACGTGTTATCTCAGAGCCACAACGCTATGAGGTTATCATCACCCTCACAGCCCAAAAGACAGCACTAAGGCTCAGAGAGGTTAAGTATCTGGCCCAAGGTGGAGCAACAGTTGACCAGGTTTCTCTAGAGCACAGGACCTTAACCTCATTCCCCATCACCCCACACTGACTTGCCCGCGCAGAGCGCTCCACGGAAGCTCTTTGAATAACACAGTTTCGGTGTGTGCCGTTAGTCAGCCCTTAAACTCTCAGCCCATTCCTCCTCTGTAAAAGGGGTGCAGTCCTCTGCTGCCCAGGCTGGCGACAGGTGCTGATGACAGCAAATGACAGAAAAGCCCCAGCCCCCAACCTCTGCTCTCTTCTGAACCTGTCTCCCTTCCCTGCTGGTGGTTGTATGACCTGAGCCTGGTCCTGACCTCTCTCAATGTCTGAATTCTGTCCTAAGACACTTAAAGACACTCAGAACTGAAAAGAATCTTAGAGACAACGTATTATTTTTGTTCTTTCTACTAGCTCTTATGTATTGGTGAATTACTCCCTGCCAGGACCTTTTCTCAGACCTGCGTGTGCATTGTCTCATTTTCCCGTTCATTACACAGATGAGGACACTGGGGCACAGATCAGATACGTTCCTTGTCCAAGCTGACACAAGCTAGGAAATGGCTGAGTTGGGATTTTTGTCTGGGTCTGTGTTGCCCACAATCCATGCTTTAATCTACTGAACCAGGTTGACTGCTCATTTACATGATTGTGTGATAATGATTATCCTCATGATTATCCACTTATTCCCCTCTGTCGCCATTCATATGGAGACCCCGCAGCAGGGGTTCAGTGTGCATGCCCTGAGCACTGGTCCAGAGATGTCCCTCTGCGGCCACGCGGAGTGTTCCCAACCCCAATCCTTCAGGAGCCTGCAGATAGTATAGAAACTGAATAAAAACAAGGTAAAAGGATTTGCCGGTTTACAAAAAAAGACATTTCTCTGCTGCCCAATTTGTCAGTCCCTCTCCCCCCAGGGACCCTTGCTGAGCATCCTTGTTTCCGTCCGCAGGTCTTTACGGTGTTCTTTACCGCCGAAATGGTCTTCAAAATCATTGCCTTTGACCCCTACTATTACTTCCAGAAGAGGTGGAACATTTTCGACTGCATCATTGTCACTGTGAGCGTGGTGGAGCTGGCCATGGCCAAGAAGGGCAGCATGGCGGTGCTGCGGTCCTTCCGCCTGGTAAGGGTCTCTCCTGGCCACTTGGGGAAACTACCCCCACATCCGGGAGGCTCACCTCTGGAAACAGACACTGTCCTTTAGGGACCCCGCCAGCCAGCTCCCTCTTCCTTTTCTGTCCCTGCGGGAAGCTGGAGACTTGGTGCTTACTCAAAGCGGGGACATGCCTTCTCCTCTCCGGGTCGGGGTCCCCTCATCTGCACCAAGCATCCTCCTGTTCTCTAATCAAATGACAGTGACAATGACCATCACAGCTACTATGTCTTGAGCACCGACCATGTGCTAGGCATGATGCTAATCCCTTGACGTAACGTACCTCACTTCACACTTACAGTAACCCTCAGAGAGAGTTGCTTTAATATCCTCGTGGAGAGATGAGTATCACAGACACAGGGCAGTTCAGTGATGCCCCCCAGGCTCCCAGCTGACCAGCGAGCAGCAGACCTGTGTTTCAAAGCCAATTTGCTTGACTCCAGAATCTCAGCTCCTCCTGCCTCACAGAGGTCATCCTCTGATTCCCTAGTGCCCCAAATCACAGCCCCCACGTGCCACACACCTCAAAAACTGCCACCTGCTAGCCTGTTGGCCTGACTCTTCTCCAGACGCAGCTCCGGGGCTCCCTTTACAGGAGGAGTTCTCCTGTTCAGGTCGTTGATGCCCCATTGCCCACAGGCCACCCACTCTAGTAAGAGCCACATCCGTTGGATTTGTCAGATTGCCAGGAAATCTGGGGTCACTGGGTCTCCCAGTTTCCAAGGCCGTGTGGAGGAAGCACGGTGCCTGGCGGACTCTTGGGAGTGGGCAAGAGGCACAGGTCCTTTGTTCTCTTGGTGCCAGCTGGGGCCTAGTGTCCTGCTTTGGAGAGATGACAAAATAAAGGGGAGAGTGCTCAGAAATCTCACTAAGTCCATTTCTAGGCCAGAGAGTCTTCTGGGGGTCCTACTGGGGAACCCAGCAAAACAGCACCGAACTGGACTCGGGGGACCTGTATCCGGGTAGCAAACGCCTACAGGAGCCAGGCAGGCAACAAAACAGCGGGGCCAGGAGGAGATTTGGGCACTGGATGTTTGTCCCATGAAACAGCCAGGGACAACTCAGTCTGGCCTAGGCAGACCCAAACAGAGCCCAACTCCAGGGAGGACACGGAACCAGTGGGACTCATCCATTAGTGTCAGTGAGAAACCAGAAATCTGGATTTTTGTGTGAAGATCTTTAATACTGGCTAGTAATTCAGTTTGGAAACACACACGCGCGCGCACACACACACACACACACACACACACTCTACAGGACAAACGAAGCGTGTCCTGGGACACGTGTGCCCTGAACCGCTGGTTGATGACATCTGCCTGAGATGATGGTTCCCTCACCATCCTATGGAGGAGAAGGGCAGAGTGGGTCCCAGGGCTCTTTACCTGTAACCTGGAAACTTAAGAAGATTAGAATTAAATTACGTTTTTAGAAAGAGAGATTTCTCTAAGGATCTAGAAAATGACAAGAGGCAGGCACCTATGGTCAACGTGAGACATCCTCACAGTCATAGAGAAAGCAAGATTCTAAGCTCCCGAGGTCCTGGGGGGGCCAAAGTTAGTTTCCTAATATAATATTAATGATTTGGTGCCCTTGGGGAAGTACAAGCTTGGAGTTTTAAGGTCCACATGCTACTTTTGTTCTGATTCCATGAGGCCTATAGTCTTAACCCAAAATAGGTAGGTTTACCCCATAGCCTGGGCCTACAGAATTCTCCACCTCCCTGCCCCCTGCCCCCAGCTTTCTGATCTCAACATGCCGATCGACTCACGATTCCCTGACTATGGCCACTGACCCCACGCTTTCCTGGGTCCTTTGGTCATCCTCGTCCACCATCTTCGCTCCCCTCGTCCGCGTAGATCTCATGGTCCACGACTGTTCTCATGCACCTGACAATGAAACTCAACCAACTTTTTCCTCTGCCTCTTCACATTTCGTGTTTGGCAAAACCCCATCCTGGAGTTGAAGGCAAGTATTTGGCTCTACCATTCCTACACCTGAGCTGTGGACATCACTGCAGAAAATTCACACAGCCCGGACCATCAGTTTCATATTCTTTATTAGTGGGTTGTATTTTTTAGAACAATTTTAGGTTTTTTCAGAAACAAAAGCAGATTGTACTGAGTTCCCATATCCCCCACCCCACCACCACTGCCACCACACACACACACACACCATTTCCCCTATTATCATCTTACATTAGGATGGTGCATTTCTGGCAAGTAACTCTTCAGTGGTTCCCCAGAGCTCAGAATACAATCCAGAGTCCTTGCAATGGTCCCCAAAGCTCTGGATAACCAGGGCCTGCCCACTCCCTGATCTCTTCTTGCTCATCCTGCTCCAGCCAGAGAGCCCCTTCTTTCTCTTCCTCACACATAACAGAACTGCTCCTGCCTCTGGGCCTTTGCACATGTATTCCCCTAGTCTTGGCACATTCACGCTCCTATTTCCTGGCTTAACTCACACATCACCTACTCAGAGAGATCCCCCCTACATTATCTAAAGTTGGATTCCCTCATCCAATTCACCTGCTTTTCTCACACTTTGCAATCATCCGTACAGTTCATGAGACAAATACCAGAGGTTTTTTGGTTATCATTCTATCCTAAGAGCCTAGCACAAGGCCCAGCGCATAGTAGGAACTCAATAAACAACTGATGATGGAAGGAAGGAAGGAAGGAAGGAAAGAAGGAAGGAGTGAAAAAGGAAAGAAGGAAGAAATGACAATTGTGCCTTTATTATTGCTTTTTCCTCCTCAAAATAGCATCAGTTCTTTCCCATCACTTAGAGCCTTCTTCCATTAATGTATCCACTGTCCTCACACCGATACCACACCCTCTTAATTACTGCAATTGCCTTGAATATGCCTGTGCCTGTAGGGCAAGCCGCTCACCTTGTTTGACTCCTTCAAGGATATCATGGCCTCTGCACTTTCATGTATGTTCATTTTCTTTTCTTTTTTTTGGTACATGCCCCTAGCGTGTCCCGGGAACTGAACCCGGGACTCTCTGGTCTGCAGGCCAATGCCCCAACTGCTGAGCCAAACCAGCCAGGGCCCATGTATGTTCATTTTAGAATCAACTCGCCAAGGTACATACCCATGCATACCCACATACATATAAAACACATTTTGGTTTGTTTTTTCCTGTAGGGATTGCAATCATCTATAGATCAATTTGGGAAGGAATGTAACCTTTCTGACCTATGACAATAGCATACTCTCCGTTGATTTTAATCTTTTCATAGTGTTATAATTTCTGCATAAAGTTTTATAATTTTCTCCATAAGGGATTTTTCTCCATGTTTTTTTCTAGATTTATTCCCAGATATTCCCTAGTTCATTATGCTATTCTATTTTTATATATTTTTTTATTCTCACCCAAGGACATTTTTAGATTTATCTTCAGATAGAGTGGGAGGGAGAGAGGGAGGGAGAGAGAGAAACATCATTGTGAGAGAGACACATCCACTGGTTGCCACCCAGACAACCCCAACCAGGGCCAGGGACAAACTGCAGCCAAGGTACGTGCCCTTAGTGGTACCGAACCCGGGACTCTCTGGTCCACAGGCAGACGCTCCAACTGCAGGGCCAAACCAGCCAGGGCCATTAGGCTATTCTAAATGAAATCTCTTTTTAAATTTCCTTTTCTTTTTTTTTTTCTTGCTACCATTTTGCTATTTAACATTGTTGTATCCAGAAATCTCTTGTTAATTCTAACAATTTATCTATATAATCTTTTAAATTTTTTAACACAACCCTATCATACAAATAATGAGGTTTGTCTTTTCTCTTCTGATCCTCGTGCCATTGGTGCTGATCTGTGCATCATCGTGCTGATGAGGACTCCAGTGCGCGGCAGAACCAAGTGTTCACAGCTGCTGGTCTCGCTGTTCTGCTCTCAGAGAGAATGCTCCATAGCTCACCACGCCTGATATTTGTGACAGGTTTTTATAAAGATTTAAAAATTTTTTTTTCAGTTTAGGAAGGTTTTTTTGTTAGAAATATTTATCATAGCTCTGGGTGAGTGTTGTCCTGTTCACTGAAAGGTTGCAGGTTCAATTTCCGGTCAGGGCACATACCTAGGTTGTGGGTTTGATCCCCAGTCGGGACACGTGTGGGAGGCAACTGATCGATGTTTCTCTCTCACATTGATGTTTCTCTCTGTCTTTTTCTCCCTTCCTCTCTCTCTAAAAGAAAAAAAAATCCATAAAAACATATCCTATATATATTATATATAACATATATAATATATATATAATGAGTGGATGTTTAATTTTATCAGAAAATTGTTCTGCATGCACTAGAATAATCACAAGATTTTCTCTTTTAATCTATTAGAGTAGTAAATTATATTAATTCATTTTCTAATGTGAAATTATTTTGCATTTCTGGGATAAACCCAACCTTATCATGATATAATTTTTATACACTGGAAGATTCAGCCTGCTAAGAGTTTGCTTAAAATTTTTGTATCTATATTGATGAGTAATATCTGGCCTATAATTTGCTTTGCTTGCATTGTCCTTTGCCAGGTTTTAGTATGCTAGTTGCCACATTATGCTAATCATCATAAAAAGAGGTGAAAAATATTCCTCTTCTTCTACACCCAAACTTTGGGTAAGATTGCAATTATTTGGTTTGGTAAAATTTACTAATGAAGCCATCTGGAGGTCGAGATTTTTCATTGCTGATTTAATTTTCAGGTTTTCTATTTCTCAAATTGGTTTTGGTAAGTTATATTTTTCTAAAATTTTTCTTATCTAAATTTTCAAGTTTATTGGCATAAAGTTATGTATGTTGTGCTGTTATCTTTTTTTTTTTTAATCCTCACCCAAGGATACGTGTATTGATTTGAGAGAGGCAGAGAGAAACATCATCCTGTACACGCCCTGACCAGGAATCAAACCCACAGCCTTTTAGTGTATGACACGATGCTCCAACCAGCTGAGCCACTGGCCAGGGCTGCTATGCTGTTATGTTTTAAGGGTCTATAGCACCTGTACTTACGTTACCCTTTTCTTTCTCTTAAAAACAGTGATTTGTGATTTCTCTCTCTCTCTCTCTCTCTCTCTTTTTTTGCTCGTCTTGCAAAAATTTGTCAATTTAATTAGTCTTTTCAAAGAAACAACTTTTAGTTTGTTGATTCTCTGTACTTCATTGATGTTTTCTGGTTCAATTAACCCTGCATCTTATCTTAATTACATTCTCCATTCTACATATTTTCTTCTTTCCTAACTTCTTAAGATGGAATTTTCAATCTTTTTTCCCCCAATATGTTCATTGAAGACTTCCATTTCCTTCTAAGAATCATTTAATGTGTAGAATTTTCCTTATTATTTGGTTCTAAATATTCTCTCATTTTAAATTTGATTTATTCTTTGACTCAAAGGTTAATTAGAAGCATGGTTCTCAATTTCAAAACATATGTGCTATTTCTAGTTATCTTTATGCCATTGAGTTCCAGCTTAAATGTCTTACAGTCCAAGCCCATATATTGTATGATTTTAGTGCTTTGAAATGTATTGATAGTTTTCTTTTGGCTTAATACATTGAAAATGTCCCTTACGCACTTGAAAAACCTGTGTCTTCTGCATGTGTAGGGAGTGTCACTGCCTGATCCACCGGGTACAGAAAGCTCATTGTATGGTCCAAATACTCTATCTCCCTGCTTATTTTTGTCTGCTTCTTCTTATAATTACGGAGAGAGTGCTGTATAAAAATATCTCCCGCTATGATTGCGGTGAGGTCTGCTTTTCCTTACGGGGCCACCTTGAGACCGCATCATTACACGCATACATATTTCAAGTTGTTATGTCTTCCCAGTTAAGTGAAACTTATCATTAAGAGCTGACCTTCTTTATCCCTAGGTATGCTTTTAGCCTTAAAAATCTCCTTGCTTGATATTAATTCGACGATGTTTTCTTTTGGTTTCGAATTTGCCTCATATATCTTTGTCTTCTAGCCTATGTATATGTTGAAGGGTTTTATACGCCTCTTGGAGAGAGCATAGTCAGATTTTAGATGTGAATATGTTTTTATTGATTTTTGAGAGAGAGAGGAAGGGAGAGAGAGATAGAAACATCAATGTGAGAGAGAGACATCTATCGGCTGCCTCCTGCACGCACCCAACTGGGGATCAAACCCACAAACCGGGCACGTGACCTAACCGGGAATCGAACTGGGACCTCTCAGTCCATGGGATGACACTCAGTCCACTGAGCCACACCGGCCAGGCAGATTTTAGATTTCTTACTCGTTCTGACAATCCAATCTTTGTTTTTTAACCAAAGCATGTAGTCCACCTACTCTGCAAAGACCTATAGACCTGGATTTGTGTCTGTCATATTTTGGGCTTTCTGTTTGCTTCACTGATCAAGTATGTTTGTGCTCTCTCCCCCTACCCTTCTTGATTTATTTTGGATTGTTTGCTTTTCCTTGTTCCATTTCCCCCTTTATTGGTTTGGAAGCTAAATACTCTGTTTTTATTTTTTGAGTGGTTACCTTACTAATTCCAGCGTGAGTAGTTAACTTAAAGAAAGTTAGTTAAAATCTTTACCTTTCTCCAAGACAAATTTTCATTTGTGACTCCTTCCCAACATACTATTCTGTTAAGTAGTTTAATTTTATTTTGTTTTTTAAAATCGGTGACTTAAATCAAGAATAAATCATCTGGCTGTTGTACAAACAGTCCCCGAACTCAGTATCTTGACCCAATAATGGTTTATTTCTCACTCACGTCATTGTGAGATGCAAGCCAGACCCGCACAACCTTTGAAGCTGGCCTTCAACTTGTGGAAGATGCGAGACCATGGCTCATTTTAAGTTTTTAGTTTTTTCTTTATTGATTTTAGAGAGAAAGGAAGGGAGGAGAGAGAGATAGAAACATTGATGAGAGAGAACATTAATTGGCCGCCTCCTGCAGGCTCCCCATTGGGGATCGGGCCCACAACCTGGGCATGTGCCCTGACCAGGAATCGAACCGGCGACCTTTTGGCACATGGGTGGATGCTCAACCACTGAGCCACACCAGCCGGGCTCATTTTAAGTTTGATATCATCAAAGGTTTTTCACTCAGGACTTGTGGGTTCCCTTGCGATACGCCTCCTTTAAAACGTACACAGCTTCAGACTCCTTTGGGTGCCGAGCGCCGCAGGTCTTTCTTGGACCAATTCTCAGCTCTGCTTTATTGCTTTGCTTTCTTGTCCCCATACTTTTCTCTCTCAACTCAGAGGTGGCCACACCATTAGTGTAATCTTTGCTAAGAGCAGCTTCATTTCATTGAAAAATTTAACTGGTCTTCAACACTTAGAGACTTAAACCCATTGCTTATCGATTGGGATAGGAAACTGTGTCCTTTTTCCCCTAAACAGAAAATTTATATTAATTATGAGGTTAACTAGGGAGATGGTTAATAAAATATGAAGAAATAGTCAGCAGCTATTCAAAGCAATAGTGTATACGTTTTCCGTGACGGTATGAAGTAATTCTTCTGATGTAATGCTAAGCTGCGCAGACTACGGAGAGCAACGGGACGGGTAGAGGTGAAGTTCACTGGGGAATAAGGACGCAGGTGGGGCTACTTTCCCTGAACCACTCATTCTAGGTCTCAGCAGGAGCCAGCCCGTTGGGCAAGGGGGCATTACAGCCCAGCGGCAGACACTCGTACAGCGTGCTGACTGATTGCTGACAGCAGGGGTTCCCAAACCCAGACATCTCTGCAGCAGCAAGTGGAGGGATCCTGTTTTCCTGCCCTTTATAAAGACAACAACACAAGTACTAGAGGATGACTCAATGTATGCCCTATAATGAGAATTATACACTTGCTTACAGTTTAGTATAAGCTTAATTCTGGACAACAGGCTGCTGTCTAAGGGGATTCTAATACAGTTCACCCTTGAGCAACATGAGTTTGCCCTGCGCGGTCCACTTATGTCAGGGTTTGTTATTCCATAAGTATTGTCAATATATTTTCTCTTATACTTTTCTCAATGACATTTTCTTTTCTCTAGCTGCTTTTATTGTAAGAATACAGTATATAATACATATAACATAAAATATATGTTAATTGACTATTCATGCTATCGGTAAGGCTTCTGGTCAACAGTTGGCTATAAATAGTTAAGTATGGAGGGGAGTCAAAAGTTACACATGGATTTTTGACTGCATGGGAGACCTGCACCCCTAACCCCATGTGGTTCATAGGTCCATTGTATTAATTTTAAACTCTCCACCCCTCACCCTAACTAACTAAGAAACCAGCCGAAACCGTTGGCCAGGCGCAATTAGGCAAGAGTCCATGCCTAGGCGCTAGTGAGCATGCCCGAGTCCCTCACTGTTCCAGTCAGGCCCCCCAGACTCTGTGGTGTGGTAGGTTGCTGTCACCCGTGTCGGGGCCCTACTCCAGCCTCTGCTTTTGCTCTTGTCCAGAGTTTCCTGCGAGAACGGAAACGTATCAACCATGTTCTAAGGAAAGTTTGCGTTCTCCCCAAACCCTCCACAAAGGGCTCATGGAGGTACTAACACTCCGTCTGTATTAGCCTCTGGCAGCTGCCTCTGTGTCCAGTCCACGGAACTGGTGTTTCAAGCTCTGCTTCCAGTCTGAGGAGAATAACCTCTGCTTAGGCCTCAGGTGAACAAGGACACCCGCCCCGTCACTCAGAGGGGCGGCCGTGGAGCTTCCTGTGTTCGAGGGACTGGCTCGCTGCCGTGTGGGCGCTGGGACTGCTGCCCTGCTCTGTTCAGGGCTGTCCCAGCACCTGATCCAGAGCCTGGTCTTGGTAGGTGCTCCATGGACACCCCATGGCAGCTGAGCCCAGATGTTTCGAACAAATTAGAGAACCATGCAAATGTATTTTTAAGTGATTACACATCTTTATGCATGGTGGTTTTGCCCTCTTGTGGGATTTAGCATATTTGGGTGTACAGTGAAGACTTTTGGGGTCTTTGCCTTGTCTTTGTTAACGAAACCATTTGTTCCATGAGGGCGGGGACCTCTCTCCACACACGTCTCAGGCACAGTGCCAGCCACATGCACGGTTGACATTCAATACGGTGGGCAGTTTGGTTGGTCTATTTATTTATTTATTTTTTTTATCCTCACCCGAGGACATTTTTCCATTTTTTGTTCAGGTAGAGTGGGAGGGAGAGAGAGGAACAGAGAGAGAGAGAGAAACATCGATGCGAAAGGAACACATCGAGTGGCTGCCACCCGCACAACCGACCAGGGCCAGGGACAAACTGCAACCGAGGTATGCGCCCCTAGCGGGAACCGAACCCGGGTCTCTCAGGACCGCAGGCCGACGCTCTAACCGCTGAGCCAAACCGGCCAGGGCTGGTTGGTTTATTAAATGAACCATGGGCCCATGATATCACAGACACTTGCTGTTTCAGAGCGAGTGGGGGCAACAGACGTCCATGGCCCTGAGATGAGAAATGCCCTAAGAGACAGTTAGCTAATATCTCTCAGATGCAATGAGTCATGCCCTACCTGCAGGGGGTTAGCCTCTCTCAGGTCAGCGGTGACCATTCTCACTTATATGTGAGCTCCATCAGCCCCTGCGCCATCCCCACAGAACAGGCCCATCAGGAGGCCAGTGGCTACAGAACGGAATACCTACAGCAAGACCACCACCCCAGTATAAGACCCCTGACTTTGCCACAGTCAGTGAAGCACATTGAATATGTAGAGACCGTAGAGAACTGATAATATTCTTACGTGACTGATGACATAGAAAGGTCTCTGAGAGCACCTTCCTGGGAGCACCCCACCTCAATGGAATGAGCTGCCTCGTGCTTTTCCCAGGCCTTTGTTCTCTGGTCAAGACTTGTGAAGAAAGGTGACGAGAGCAGCCTCCAGACCCTGACACAATCTCTGTTTCTCTGCAGCTGCGAGTCCTCAAGCTGGCCAAGTCCTGGCCAACCTTGAACACCCTCATCAAGATCATTGGAAACTCAGTCGGGGCTCTGGGGAACCTCACCATGATCCTGGCCATCATTGTCTTTGTCTTCGCTCTGGTTGGCAAGCAGCTCCTCGGGGAGAGTTACCGTGTAAACTGGGGAAATGTCTCCATTGATGAAAAGGCTCGCTGGCACATGTGCGACTTCTTCCACTCCTTCCTCATCATCTTCCGGATCCTCTGTGGGGAGTGGATCGAGAACATGTGGGTCTGCATGGAAGTTGGCGACAAGTCCATCTGCCTCGTCCTTTTCTTGACGGTGATGGTGCTGGGGAACCTGGTGGTGAGTGCAGAGCCCACTGGGGCATAGTCTCTGGGCAACAGAGGGAGCTTCCGGGTTACCCTGAAAAGCGCTGACGTGGCACATGTTTCTGCCCACATTGTACCTCCCAGACGGAAGGCCTTCAAACTTCTCAGAGTCTTTATAAGTCCCGTTGTAAGAACTGTCCCTTGGGCGGCAGCCTGACTTGTGGGAAGGAGCACATGTCATAGAAAAGCAAAGACCTGGCTTGGAATCGCAGCTCCACCACTAGTAGAGATGGCTGACCCTGCCTAAGGGATCATCTCCCCCAGCTCTGCTTTCCTTGAAATCAAGAAAATAGTGCTTGCTCGTGGGCTTACTGAGAGAATTAAATTACAGGAGATGATATATGCAAATTGCCTGCTGCAGTGTCTGGGCTATGGCAGGAACTCAATCAATGATAGTTGTTCAAGGGAAATTTCCTTCCCTGCTCCAGGGAGCTTCAGAAAATACATTTCTCCAGGGGAGTGAAAGCTGGCTGATTTCTCTGAGCTACACAGGTCCTAGCTAGGAGCAGGGGGCAGGTGCAATGGGCAGGGGGCAGGAGGGCAGCGTCCAGCACCACAGTGGCAATGACACAGTCCACTCCCAGGTTTGGGGGAGCCTCTCTGGAGACTTCCCTGCCAATCGGCCCCAGCACCCCTTCTCTGCCCCAGCCTGGCGTTTCACCCTCAGCTTGTCTCCATCCATGCTAGCTCTGGGTGCCTCAGTGTCCCAGCACAGGCTGGCTGGAGGGGAAGGTGGCCTTCCAGGATCCTCTTTCTTATTGCCCTGGAAGTCGACCACCTTAGGTTCTTTCCCGTACCAAGCTTTACAGGTGAGAAAAAGCTAAAGCAAGAAAAGGGACGAAACAGCAAATCCAGACTCTTCGAGGCCTTTCCCACCCTTCCACCCACATTCCCGAGTGGGGGGCTGGCTGAAACTGCGTTCTTCCAGGCTGAGGTCACCATCCCTGAGCCACAGAACCCTAACCCTCAGGCAGGAGGTTTGCCTGAACACGTTTGCATCCCTCGCGTCATCTCCTCTTCACAGCGACTCTGGGAGGTAGAGTCCCTACTCCCTGCTTCCCGGTGAAGAGCGTGAAGTTGGAAGTAGTGAGGAGAGGTGCCCAGAATTCCAGAGTGAGGACTAGAACCCAGGGCAGGCCCCTGCCTGCTCCTCTCTGTTGCCCCTGAACGTCCCTTTGCTCAGCAGGGCAGATCCTCCTCAGCGGTGGAGAACATGCTTATCCACATGAGGCAGGTCCCATAGGGCATCTCCAAGGCCACAGTTGCTCTCAGAAGACCCATTCATTCCCGCAGGAGGGAAAGCATCCCGGAGATGCAGGGAGAGGCCTGGCTCTCCTGCCATGCAGCTGCCGGCCTGGTGGGCCATGCCCGGGCTCGGCTCGTGGACTGAACCAGCTTCCCTTCCACTCCTTGTCTCCAGGTGCTCAACCTGTTCATCGCCCTGCTGCTGAACTCCTTCAGTGCCGACAACCTCACAGCCCCAGAGGAGGACGGGGAGATGAACAACCTGCAAGTGGCCCTGGCGCGAACCCAGGCATTTGGCCATCGCACCATGAAGACCCTTCGCAGCTTCTTCCACAGGCCCTGCCTGCCCCCCCGGAACAAGGCAGAGCCCCAGATGGTGGTGAAGATCCCACTCTCCTGCTCCAAAGACGAGAACCACGTTGCTGCCAACGCGGCCGTGGGGAGCTCTGGAGGGCTCTCGGCTTCCAGAGACTCCGGGGACAACCACGGTGGCCTCGTCACCAATCCTAACACGTGGGTCTCTGCGCCCATTGCGGAGGGTGAATCTGACCTTGATGACTCGGAGGAGGAGAAGGAGGAGGATGCTGGGAACTCCGGGCAGGAAGTGATCCCCCGTGGGCAGGTGAGAGTTCTCCCATTGGATGGCCAGGGGGAGCAGGGGGAGGTCTCAGGGAGGGAGTGACGGGGCAGAAGGGAAATGATGACTCGGGGATTTTCTGACACCAGGGCTGGCACAGCCTTGAAGAGTTCCAGGCAGAGAAGCCCTTGACATAAGGAAGCGCAAAACATGCCATGCTTTCTAAAGGAGATGGAAGAAAGGGTCAGGGTTCCCCCAGGCAAGCAGGGAGCAGGATGCTGTTCAAGATCAAGGCTCTGATCTTCTCCAGACGCCTAAGGAGTCCTGGGCGTTATGTGACATTTATCCAGCTTTTCCCGACACGGGATGTTACAGGGAAGGGACACTTGTTCCTTCTGGCACCAAAGAATGTCAGCCTTTGGGTAACATATTTTTTAAATACTTTGCACAGTTCCCTACTACTTTAAGCTGAGGTCTCAGCCCTCATTAACCTCTTCCCAATGGTTGGGGGCACACACTTCTGCACGATATGGGAAGGCAGGGATCCCTGTGGGGCCCAGGGACACGCGGGGCTGCTGGCCATCCCCCTACATGGCCTGAGACGGCTGTGCTTTGAGTCTGTAGCTCCTCCACGGCCTCCTTCCCTCGCAGCTGTCCCTTCTCTTGTGTCCCAGCGGCTGCTTCAGCTGCCACATTTTACATGCCTTTGTCTGGGTAATAGCCAAGGGCAGGGCGTCCCCGTCCCCAGAGCAAAGGACATGAACTCTGCGACGGCTGTCTCCACTCAGAGGCATCTTTAGCTACTTGGGGGTCCTTGGGGGACTCCAGAGGGCCAAGTTCACTACCACTCTTACCTCTGGACAATTACCAATGGTCATGGCTAACATCTATTGAGCCAAGCACTTTGTTCAAAGTGTTCTATAAGCATGAACCTATTTAGTCATCAAAATAACTGAATGAAGTAGACCTTGCCTTCTCAATTTTGCAGATGGGAAAAATGAAGATCAGAGGTTAAATAACTTGCCTGAGGTCACTCAGTTTGTAAGTAATCAAGTCAAGAGTTAAACAGATCTCTCAGGCTATCGCGTCTCCGTGCTCACTTCACACAAGTATCTGTGAGTTGATGGATAGATTTTAGTTACATGTGTTAGATCCTTAGTCCTGGCAGACTAAGAGGTAGATGCAAGATCTCTTCTGAGTTGGAAGTGGTCAGCTGAGGGCGGGCGTAGGTACCTAGCTGGGATCCTCTCTCGCTAGCAGAAGCAGCTGCAGCAAGTCGGGAGGTACAAGGACCACCTGGCCAGGAGCCCAGGCTCAGGAACATCCTCCGAGGACCTGGCTCCATACCTGGGTGAGAAGTGGAAAGACGAACCAGCTGCTCAGGTCCCTGCAGAGGTAGGTATGTGAACTTCCTGGAGAGGTGGGGTATTCCAGGCTGCACTCAACCTCCTGACCTCATGTCACATCCTGGGAATTTGTAAAGTCCCTCCTAGCCCCTGGGCTACTCAACATGATCTCAATAGCAAGAGTGAGGCTTCACGGGCTGGGGTGGAGGACCAGCCCCTCGACCTCTCTGAGCTTTCGTGCCGTCACCTGTGACACTGAATGGTAACCTTGGTAGGATTCTTTAGAAGCTTAAATGAGATGCTGCTTGTCAAGTGTTTAGCTCTTCCCTGACATGCAGTAAGTACCCAGAAAACGACAGCCAGGAAAAAGGAAATCAAAGACAATGCAGAGAGAAAGTGGGGTGACGCCAGCAGATGCAAGTCAGAATTGCTCGTGGGTGAAACAGTCTCCCCTGTGGCTCCCCACCCCCTCTCTCTTTAGTCCACACCGTTTTCTCTAGCAAAAAAACATGCTGGTGCCCTGGAGAGAGAGGCTGTCTGTGCCCAGCTGTCTGTGCCCAGCAGTCTGCTTACGGCCTTCCGCAGACTGAGCAGGAAGGAGACTCGGGGTTTAGGGGTGTCTTAGAAGAGGCAAAAATAAACTTGGTGGTTTCGTTACAAATCTTTGGCGAAAACAAGCTACAGGGAAAGAGGTGTCTGTAAAGATGTAGTGTCTTTAATACCGCTGTCTAAAAATCAGGAATTTAACTTGACACCCAGCCACCGAGTGTTGACACGGGGACAGGCCCTGGGGGAAGCAGAGATAAGGAAGACATCATTCATCCCCAAAGCTATCAAGCCCTTCAGCTTGAGGACTGTCAGCCACGGGCTGTGTGCCCCTGGGCAGGGCGGACCCCAGCAGCAGGAGATAAGAGGGTGGGCTGGCATGAGATCTGGGCCCCTGGATGAACACAAGCCACTGGCTTCAGCAGGGCGAGGGTTGCCACCTTCTCCACGTGGACATATTTCCTCCTGAGCTTCTGAGGGCTCCCCTGGCCAGTTTTCTCTGCTCCATGTTCTCAGTACACAACTGCTGGGCGTTGGTTTTGTTTTGTTTGTGTTTTTGTTTGGTCCATGACCCTGGCCAGGCGGGAGGGACCTGACAGTGACAGATGGGGATGCACCCCCCCCACTTGGGTCCATTAGCCAAGCTATCGGGTTTACCGATAGGAGAGCAGCTTCAGCTTCTAATTGAATCCGCGGAGAGACATTACAGGACGAGAGCTGCCGGGAGGCCCGCGGGGCCCGGCAGCCTTGCTCTGCGTTACATGTCCCAGCGCCGTGAATGCTCAGTCTCTGTGGGCGTCACCGGGCCATCGCCAGCACTCCGTCAGGGGCCTGGAGGCTGAGAGCCTCAGGGAGCTAAGAGAGCATCACTGTTCTGGGCCTCAGCTGGCACGGAGCACACAGGACCGCCCGGTGGTCCAGCCCCGAGGGGCCAGCGGGACCTGCGGTGCAGATTCCCGGGCCCCCGACAGCGGAGCTCACTGCCCTGGGCTTGTGCCCCGCAGACAGAGCGCGACACGAGCTCCTCCGAAGGCAGCACGGTGGACTTCCTGGACGCCGAGGAGATCCTGAGGAAGATCCCTGAGCTGGCCGATGACCTCGACGAACCAGACGACTGCTTCACAGAAGGTAAAGTGGCGGCCACAAGCCTCCTCACATCGACACCATTAGGGCCAGAATCCGGTTCAACACTCACCCGGGCGCCTGTGTGTCCCGGGCCCCTTGCTGCCTCGCTCCCGGGCGTGAGGGACCAGCATCAGACACAAATGCCACAACTCCCAGCAGCCCAGGGCGGGATCTGCCTCCCGTGCCCCCTGGACACCGCCCAGGGTGCTGCCTCTCCCCATCAGCCTTGAAAACCCCTCACTGAGCTATACCTCAGCCCTCCTGAGGTTGAAAGGGGGAAAGGAGTCGCCACCATAACTTGATTTGGGACGGAAAGGAGCCAGAGGAGGCCGGCCCTGCGGTGCCCTCGCTCTCTCCCGCCAAGTTGAAGGCGGAGAGAGCATCTCACTCTCCTTTTCCTCCATGTCTGGAACAAGGAGGCACGTTATGTTCCCATAGATATTTGTGCAAGAAGTGAATAAACGACTATGAAAGTGTGGCCTCAATGATAAAGCACGAACATTTAAGAAAGAAAACACTTGCAGTTTCTAGTTCCACAAGATCCTGGGCTGGGCTGGAGCCGAGTCCCACCCCGGCCGTGCGGGGGCCCCTTGGGTCAGCGCGGCTCCAGGCACAGCCCCACGGACACTGCCGGCCCAGGCTGCGCGGCTTGTCGGGCTTCCGGGGCCAGGCGGGCGTGAACACAGGGACTGTCTGCGAGAGGGGACGGTGGGGAGGAGATGAAACTGGGAAAGACCCGTGGTGGAGAGGGACGCTGAGGGCAGGCCTGAGAGACCGCCTGGGAGGGACCCCTGTCATATTCCAGGAAAGAAGTCTTTCCCAAAGGGGTGGCAGGCGGGCCTCCCAGCAGAGTGGCCTCCCTGCAGGGCAGGAGCAATGATGCCCCTCCTTTCCCAGTGGGACATCTCCCACCAACAGTCACCTCCCTCACAGGCTGTATCCGCCACTGTCCCTGCTGCAAAGTGGACACCGCCAAGTTCCCGTGGACTGTGGGCTGGCAGATGCGCAAGACCTGCTACCGCATCGTGGAGCACAGCTGGTTCGAGAGCTTCATCATCTTCATGATCCTGCTCAGCAGCGGGGCTCTGGTAAGGGAAGGCGGCGTCCCTGCCCCCGTGCCTCCAGAGGGGGTCTCCACAACCTAACTTTACCCTCATTTGATCCCAAAGCCCCTGACTTGCCACCTTCTGACCCCCAAACACACTGGCCTTCTCTGAAGCCCCAGGACAAAGAGCATCCCCCTTCCTGCTCTTAATCAAGCCTCTTGTAAATATCACTATTACGTGTTCAAAGCTCCCAGCAACTCATTACAACAGCACTTCTCAACATGTGATTACCTGGGGAGCTTGTTCAAGTGCAGTTCCTGATTCAGTAGCTCTGGGTTGGGGCCTGAGAAGCTGCATTTCCAGCAAACTCCCAAATCCACACTTTGAATAACAAAGCCTTGCGGGAAAAGAGATTCTGAGTTAGGGACACTTCCTAAGCCCCTTGCTGAATCTCTCCACTCATCTTCCCCATGGACCAAGGTAGATGTCAACACGGGAAGGGACTCAGCACCTCCAGTTGTCTGCATTTCATGGATGAGGAAGTCGTGGCCCAAAGACAGGAAGAGACCTGCCTGGGGTCCCAGCTAGTCAGTCAAAGGGAGGACTGGAACCCCACTCTCCAGACTTATGGCTCCAAGTGTTCCCCCTTGCCTTGTTCCTCGTGTCATTTATCCCCTGAAAACAATCTACTGACTGTTGGGGCGCCCATCCGAATGCCCGATTTCCCAGAAAGGGTGCCCACACTGCTCAGAGTGTGGCTTCAGCCTCAGGGAGGCGCAAAGGCCGACGGGAGGCCTACTGTGAGACGTGGGAGGACAGCGAGGCCGGCAACGGCACCCAGCGGAGGGAGAAGAAGGCTTCCCGGAGCGGGGCTGGTCTGCCACCGTGCAAGGTGGAGAGGGTGTGGCAGCATCTGAAGGTGCCCACTGTCCCAGCAAAGGGCAGTCCTGGCCCAGGGCTGGGTGTAGAGGCCACATTGCAGGGTAAGAGGAGGCTGGGCGGTGCTTTCTCTACACCAACCCTTCCCTGTCCTGTCTTCCTGGTGCAAATAATAATCACATGTGCTGTTGACTGGCCTTCCCATGAGCCTTCTCTCCTGCTTTCTCTCCTCCGCTCTCCCTTGCTCCTTCCCTCTCTCTGCTCCCTTTCTCCACGGGTTCCAGCTGCCCCCACCCCCCACCCCCAGCAGGGAGCTCAGATCCTGTCTCAGCAGCTCTCTGCTCACCTCCCCATCCCCTTCCCCAAGGGACTGTGAACAGGCTGGCACCAAATTTAGTCTTCCTTATGCTTTTACTTGGAGTACTTTTGAAAAAATAACATGAGTTTACATCTGACAAAGTAAAGTGCAAAAAAAAAAAAAAAAAAAAAAAAACCCACTTGGAAATTATGGGAAAATGCAAAGAAAAAAATATCATCCATTTTCCTATCACTCAAAAAGAACCTCACTTTGAAAACATTGGGTACACTGTCTTCCCGTCTTTCTTGTGCGTGTAGTACATACACATTACAAAACTGAAGCCGCGATCGTACATCCTGTAATTTCTCAGTCAATCGTCTTAGGAGGCTCTTCCTATCTCATGCGCTGGTGGCCGTGTCCTCCCTCTCAGGCCGAGGGGAGCCTGGGGGACAGGGAAAGGAGCTAGAAAAGATATGGGCTTCGCCCTGGCCAATTTGTCAGCAGTTAGAGCGTCGGCCTGTGGTCCAGAGAGACCCGGGTTTGGTTCCGCTAAGGGCATGTACCTCGGTTGCAGTTTGTCCCCGGCCCTGGTTGGTCGTGTGGGTGGCAGCCACTCGATGTGTCCTTTTCACGTTGATGTTTCTCTCTCTGTCTCTCTTCCTCTCTCTCCCTCCCACTCTATCTGAACAAAAAAATGGGAAAATGTTCTCAGGAAAGAATAAAAAAAAAAAAGAAAGACATGGGTTTTGATGAAGTCCAGTCTCAGCCTGACCCCATGGGAGCTCTGGAGCATAAAGGGCCCCACAGAGATGTCCCACCTTGAAGCCTTTTAAAGCCACAGTAAGTCACTGGCTTTGGGCTGCCCCCATCCCCTCCCCCCCCCAGGGGACAGGTAACCTCCTAAGGTGGAGGCAGTTTCCTTCAGCCCAGGGACACCCTCAGGAAACAGGCTGTCAGGAGCTCCTAGCAGCCAACATTCACAGCAGCTGGGGGATGGGCACATTGGTCCCGGAACAGGATCTGGGTAGGGCGCCAGGACATTTAGTGTCCTTGCGATAAGGCATTGAAGGCAGAGTTGCTAGGTTTCTACCGCAGGAGACATGTTCCCAAGTTGACCTTCCAGAAGACGACACTGGTTTCGGTCCTCACGGGCCATGCAGGAGCATAGCTGGGCTCTTCCCCACCCCCACCTGGGGCTCCCTGTTCCTTTCTATCCGCACAGATCTGATAGGAGAAAAATGGTGTCTTCTTTTCATGTCCTTGATTACCAGTGAGCTACAACGTTCTTTTACAGAGGTTCCTTGGCGATCCTTGTCTGTGGACTGCCATGAACATCCTTGGATGCTTTTATTTATTTACTTTTACTTTTTTTTTCTTTATTGATTTTAGAGAGGAAAGGAGAGGGAGAGAGAGATGGAAACATCGATGAGAGAGAGCATCGATTGGTCCACGACCTGGGCATGTGTCCTGACTGGGAATCCAACCGGCGACCTCTTGATGAATGGGTCGACGCTCAACCACTGAGCCACACCGGCTGGGTGGATGCTTTTATTTTTAAACCAAGTCACATTAGGCATCCCCTTGGTTCACTTCCAAAATCCAATTCAAGAAGGTTTCCTGTCTCACTTGCACTCAGCTCCCCTGCAAAGTATAAAAGGACCACCTGGACCCGTTGGCTCAGGAAGGCCTGGTTTGTATCTCACAGGGTCTCCTCCACTCCCCACCTCCCAGAGCAGAGACACAAAACAGCACATGCAAGCTGGTCACCAGAACCCTGCCAGGGGCTGAGGACAGGCCTGGCAGGATCCCTCCTGGTCTCTGGGCCCCACTCTGTTCCCTCCCTTCCAGGCCTTCGAAGACAATTACCTTAGTCAGAAGCCCACCGTGGAGGCCTTGCTGGAATACACCGACAGGGTGTTCACGTTCATCTTTGTGTTCGAGATGCTGCTCAAGTGGATGGCCTATGGCTTCAAAAACTACTTCACCAACGCCTGGTGCTGGCTGGACTTCCTCATTGTGAACGTGAGTAGCTCAGTGGGCACACTGGGCACGTGTGGGCTTGGGGGCCCCACCTCTGACTGATGGTTGCTGCTGCCCAAGAAGGCCCCAAGGCCTGGCCCTCAGGGGCTGCACCAAACAAAAGTCTTGAGCACGTAGCAAGGGGCCTGGGACTAGCCCTGCACAGCCGTGAGTCGTAAGATCCAGGCAGTACATGATTTTGGCACAACGGTGACCCTCAGGTGAGTTCTCAGTTCCTAGACCTCCATCCAGAGAGACCCTACTGTCCTCTGTATTTCACATTTACATTTTTTAAAATTTAAATCCTCACTCAAGGATATTTTTTCATTTATCTTCAGAGAGAGTGGGAGGGAGGGAGAAAGAGACATCGGTGTGAGAGGGACACATCTATTGGTTGCCTCCCACACGACCCCAACCAGGGCCAGGGACCAAACCTTAACTGAGGTAAGTGCCCTTGACCGGAATTGAACCCACACCTCTTTAGTCTGCAGGCTGACACTCTAACCGCTGAGCCAAACTGGCCAGGGCTGTATTTTACATTTAAAACGAGATGGCACAGGAGGCTCTCAAAGTTACTATGACCTTGTGTCCACTGACAGGGCTTCTGGACTTAGGCAGCTGAAGACTGTGCAGAGAGTCTGCCCACCTGCTGACTTGGTCCTCAGGCCTGGCTGCACTTGAGAATCATCTGGGCAGCTCTTAAAAATACAATGAACAGCCCATCTGATGTAGCTCAGTAGTTGAGTATCGACACATACACCAAGAGGTCGCTGGTTCAATTCCAGGTCAGAGCACACGCCCAAGTTGTGGGCCCGATCCCCAGTGGGGAGCATGCAGGAGGTGGCCAGTCGATGTTCTCTCTCATCAATGTTTCTTTCTCTCCCTTCCTCTCTCTCTAAAATCAATAGAGAAAAAAAACATGTTTTTTAATACAATGAATAAATACTGCTCTTCCCAAAGATTCAGGTCTCTCTGGTCCTGGAGTACAGGGTTGGAGGGTCCAGTCATCAGCATTTTGTAAAACTCCTGGATATGTCCAGCATGCAGCAGGATTGAGAACCACTGAGCTAACACTACAGCTTCTCCCCAGTGGCATTTAGGAAGACGGGCTCCCTTTGGAGCGGTGAGGCACTGAAGCTCATGTCACACTCACACTCACCTGTGGCCGTTAAACCCGAAAGCTAGGAGTGATTGCTCCCTTGTCTTAACCACTACAATCCTCTGTCTCTGTCCAGGCCTTTGCCCTCTTGGTTTTGCAAGATGGCTGTCTGTGTTACTTGTGCACTGGTGCCCAGCTGAGGGTCCCTGCAGGCCGGGAAGACACATGGTGTGTCTCTCTCTGCCTCCCCCACATCAACAGCCACCAGCACTGAGGTCTGCCCATCAGAGGTGTCAGGAAATGTGTCTGTGTTTGATGCTTGCCTCCTGAAGCTGGACGGGGTCCAGACCAGAACATTCTGTCCACTCTTGTGTTGGCAGTGCCCTCCACAGCAGGTCCAAGCCTCGAGTCTCTTCTTTCCTGATACCGATGTGGTGGCGGCATCAGGCCGCTGTACCACAGCGATTAGCGTAAGGTCTGAAATCTGAGTCACAGGTGGTGATTTTGAGCATATGAAATAAGAATTCATAGATGAATGGGAAATGTTGTTTTCCGGCTACCCATCCCTGTTAGGGGCACAGTTGTTCCAACCTGTGTGGGTCTCACTAGCTTCAGTCTTGGTCACTTGGATGTGATGATCTGAACATCCATCTTTTCTTCCATACATCCTTCCTTCCATCTATCCAACCATTCACCCCTTCTTTCTATTCCTCCCACACATCCATTCATCTTAACTTCTTCCATGTATCCTCTCTGCCAGTTTTCTCCTGTTCATCCATCCATTCTCAAAATGTCTTTCTTCTTCCCTTCTGCCCCTCCATTTATCCTAACCTTCCTTTCATCCATCTGTCCACTGGTCCATAGTCCTTCTGCCTTCCCATCTTTTGATGCATTCTTATATCTAATGATTTAACCATCTAACCCTCTTTTCACTCATTCATGTACCTCCCATTCCGGCATCCTTCTATCCATCCATTCTATTTTTCTATTCTTTAGTTAGTTGGTTGATTAATCCTCACCCAAAGATATTTTTCCATTTATTTTATTTTATTTTTTTTAGTTAGAGTGGAAGGGAGGGAGGAGGAAGAAAGAGAAAGAGAGGGAAACATCAATGTGAGAGAGACACATCGATTGGCTGCCTCCTGCATGACCCCAACCAGGGCCAGGGATCAAATCTGCAACCCAGGCACGTGCCCTTGACAGAAATCAAACCTGTGACCCTTCGGTCTGCGACCGACGCTCAAACCGCTGAGCCAAACCAGCCAGGGCTCTAGTCTTTTAACCCATGTATCTGTCCTTCCTCCCACCATCTGTCTGTTTATCCCTTTTCCATCCATCTGCTCACCCATCCATCCATCTACTTATCCATCCAGTCAACCTTCCATCCATTCTCTAACCTCTCTTGTTCATCCATTCTAACTCTCCACCTTTCCACCCATCCATCAGTCATCTTATCCACCATCCTTCCCCCATCCACACATCCAATCTATCTCCTACTCCATATTTTTCTTTTCTTCTTTGCTATCTTTCTTTCATTCTTACTTTCAACTATCTGTACTATCCATCTCTGAATCCTTTCATCCATTGTTCTGTACACATCCTCAACATTCTATCCAGCTATTCTTTCCTTCCTTCTTTCTACCCATCCCAACATGTTTCTATCTTTCCTTCAATTCATCAAATGTTTATTTATAGCTACCGAATATAGGATTGACTTATGAAGTGCTCTGGGAGAGATAAAAAAAAAACAAGAAATTAAAACATCGCATCTCCAGGAGTTTACACTTCAATATTCCAGCAGATAAGACACACGGGGAGAAATAAACAAATTATAAGGGGATGTGTGGTGAGCACTGCGGGAAATAATTAGCATCTTGGGGACACAGGGACACGAGCCTGCCTCCACCCAGCGGGGTGGATGGTTAGGAAGGTTTCTATAAGAATTAGCAGTAGGTATATAGGGCTGAGAATGAGCAGGAACACGGAGGCGCCAAAGGGACAGGGGTGGGCACAGTCTTAGTTAAAAGATGACTCTGAGCAAAGGTGCAGACACAGATGCATCTAGGGGACAATTTGATTTGGTGAGAATATATGGGTGAAATATGACTGGGGAAGTAGGCTGTGGCCGTGTCATACAGGCTAAGGAGTACGGAGCTTATCCTAAGGGTGCTTGTTCTAAGCTCCAGTGAAGGTCTGGAGTAAGAGAGAGACATGATCCTAATGAGATTTGCAGTGGAGACGGGATGGGATGGATGCATACTGGAGCCCAGAGACCAGGAGGGAGCCCAAGTGGTCTGAGCAGAGGGAGTGGAGCTGGGCTTGCTGGACGGGGTTGGATGGAGAGGCCGCAGCCCCTGGTTGCCCCAGCTGCAGATTTGCACACGAGTCAACCTTCCGAGGTGATGAGTAAAAGATTAAAAAGGGTCCAGCCTGGAGCTGGCTTCAAACCTCTCTGCCCTCCGTCAGCCGTGCAGTTGGGTGCCACCTGCTGGTGTCTGGAGATTTGCATGGATGAGGGAAGGGGGTCCTTTTCATTCCAGTTCTTCATCCTGGTGGAATATGCCACCCATTCCAAGAATAAGCATTTTTTGAGGCTCTAGCTCCCAAATATAAATGCCTCACCTTCTGAAGTTCCGGTGTGCATCCCCACCTAGCTTCCAGGATGAGCTAAGCCTGAATTCAGCCCGCCAGTCATGGTAGAGCTGGGGTCTCCTAGGATTGGTGCACAGTCTCCAGCAAGCTCAAGCCGATGCACATGGTATTTCCCCAGCACCTTCCAAGTTCCTGGAAGGTATGATCGTTTTTCACGTCAGTTTGTGTCCTTTGAAAATGAACAGACCAACAGGGACTCGGGACTCAGCCATTATGTCTCAGCTGTCTGTCAAAGCTGGACCTCTCGGGCCCATGCCAGTCACTCTGACTGAAGAACAGACCTGTAGGGCCTTGAAATTCTCTTAGTCTGACGCTCTCATTTTCCAAAGGGTAAAAGTACAACCTGGACAAATAAGGCACTGATCCAAGGTTTAAAAAAAAAAATCAGGGTTCAAGAGGGAACTAGACCCTACTCAGACCAGGACACTTTGCTCCTTGTTTTTCTGAGCAAATACAATGAAGACTAGCTTCATATTCCTCAATATAAAGTTTCACATAACATTTGGAGAGATGATGAAGGGACATCATCTCTCCAAATCTCTGAAAGTCAATCCAAGTTTCAAGGATGTTGGGGCCTAGCGGGTGCCCCCAGAAGGGAAGAGGAAGGTGTGTTTAATACACTGGGAGCTTGGCCACCTACACACCAGGGGCTGGCAATGTGGGGGCTGGGTTTCTCTTTCCCAGAGCTTCAGTTGAGTGATGAAGGAAGTCTTTAATAAAAGGAGAGCACTCGAACTCTCTCTAGAACTCTCATTAGAATCCAGCATGAGGTAAGAGCCCGGATGAAGGCTTAGACAGAGTGGGGCGTGGGAGGGACTTCCTGTCTCCTTGCACCAGGACCGCCCCTCTGGAACCCTAGCGTGATGCCTTTGCTCTCTGCCTGCCCTCAGATCTCACTGATAAGCCTCGTGGCGAAGATCCTGAAGTATTCTGATATTTCCTCCATCAAAGCCCTTCGGACCCTCCGCGCCCTGAGGCCGCTGCGGGCTCTGTCTCGATTCGAAGGCATGAGGGTAAGACCTATCTCCAAACTGCCCTGGTCGGCAGCATTTGTACCACTTTCCCCTTCACGCCCTCCGTACCACTCACCCTGAGCTCCGGGCTCTAGCACCCCCCCCACACACACACACCCAGGCCAGCTCTGCGTCCTCACTTCTGCTTGCACACTGGTGGTGCCGTGATGTCCTCACTCTCCTAGTTCCCCTCAGGTCCCTTTGGGAGCCCCTCCTCCCCTCTCACCTCCAACATCACATCTGCCAGGACTCAGACCTCACTTCTGTTCTTAGGGATCCTGCTTCATGGCTCCACAAGCACCCCTCACCTCAACCTCCCCACGCTGCCAACGTGTCCTCGTTGTTAAAATCTTTGGAACATCCCAGGCTCTTCTTTCCATGACAAATGAGCCTTTCCTCTGACACTCATTTAACTGCAGTGACATTATCAGCTCGGCAGCTCAGCCGCCACCCACTAGAATACCTTCTCTCCAACCCACCGCAGTCGTGGGACTTACGGATTTTTCTTTTATCCATCCCTTTCCTTACATATGTCTGCTAGCCGCCACCTTGCCCTCACTGCCTTCCTCAGGGTGCTGTGCTCACCAGCCGGGCCCTTGCCCCCCTCCCCGTCCTCATAATTACAAGTCTCCTGAGACAGAAAGCGAGGTTTTCGCTTTCTTCATCATTGACTCCAAGAAGTCATCAGATCTTCAAAGGCAAAAGTGGACTTTCAGAATTAATTGGTGCCTTTACAAACACTAGGAGCTTATGACTGAACTAGTTTAATGTTTATTTTATTTTATCTCCAAGTTGCTATTCGACAAATAGGCAAGTCTGTGAATATGGATTTAGGTTGTCATTGATTCCTAACCAAAGCATACTACACACCATGTTCAAGTGTTGTAGTTAAGGAAAATAAAGCCAGTTTCTGGAAGTCTGTATGTGCTAGCACAACATAACGCTCACACCCCTAAATGAGCGTGTGTGTACTTGTAAACTCATCCACTTCCTCAGTCTTGAGGGAGGACAGCGAAAGCCGCCCTGAATGAAGTTTAGAGAAGATTTAAACCCACCTTCAGCTCCCAGGTCTCTCAGCCTCCTGAGTCTGAATTATTGCACTAATTAACCCACTTCTCTTGCTTCCAAAGGCCGCTGGCTCACAGAGCAGCCTGAAGAATTCGAATCCAGCAAAGAGGGGTGGGGCATTGGTGGGGTTCCAGGTCCTTTTGCATTTCCCCCCCAGGTGGTGGTAGATGCCCTGGTGGGTGCCATCCCGTCCATCATGAACGTCCTCCTCGTCTGCCTCATCTTCTGGCTCATCTTCAGCATCATGGGCATGAACTTCTTTTCGGGGAAGTTTTGGAGGTGCATCAACACCACCAGTAAAGACTTTCCTGTTGTGCATTTGAATATTGTGAATAACGAATCTGATTGTAAATTTCAAAACCACACTGGCAAACTCTTTTGGGTGAACATGAAGGTCAACTTTGATAATGTTGCAATGGGTTACCTCGCCCTTCTGCAGGTGGTGAGTCCTGAAATCAACCATGTCTTTTTCTTTGGCTACTCTATGAAATGGAAGGACTGGGATCTTTCAGAAGATGCTATGTAAGGTGTAGCACTCATTTGAGCTGAGTTCATTCCCTATTCCTATAGGCTACATCATGTGGCTAGAGGGCTTTACCAATGAGTGTGATCTCCCAGCGGTACAATTAGACCAATGTAAGCTAATAGGCTAGAACAAAGGGATGAGCCTGCCATGGGATTATATCAAGTAATGAATAAGTTAGAATTCACTACTTGTACAAAGTAGACATGACTAGCCACATATTCAGTCTTCTGTAAATTATCCCCTAGAGGGTAATAAATTATGTTCCAGGTCTATTGTAGTGATAGATAGTGCTGGTGATGATGACAGTCAACCACATTCATCATTCATTCATTCATTCATTCATTCACTCTTCATCCCTTGCCTTCATCCACTTGTTCATTCAGTACTCCAGCCATTCAAGTGTTACATTTATAATTGCTTATACATTTGTAATTGCTTATACAAGTTCCTGCATTCTGCCATTTGTTCCTGTATTCATTTGACAAACACTCCCTGAATCGCTGTGGCGTGCCAGGCACTGTGCTCTGCCCTGGGAGGTACAAAGACATGTCAGAACTGGCTCCAGGGGGACAGTTGCTCGATGAGAAAAACAAATAAGAGAATCAAAACAGAGCCCATTATAGACGCGTGGGCAGAGCCTGAGTAGCCTCTGCTCCTTGTTCCCAGGCAACCTTTAAAGGCTGGATGGACATCATGTATGCGGCTGTGGATGCCCGAGAGGTGAGTCTCAGCCCACTGCACTCACTGCCTTCCCCTCTGTGTGCCCCGCACATTCGTCTATTTGAACCAGAGTGAAGAGGGTGGCCTTGGTGCCAGAAGGGGCGACCACCCAGCAGCCTGGCACTAACCCTCTCTGGAGCAGTGTCCAGCTGGCTCACTGTTGGCTGTTTAAGCCGACCTAGCCCGTTCTCCTTCCGTGCACCTTCTTCAGGCTTCCGAAGCTCTTTCTCTGCTCGAGAAAAGTGCCAGATAAAAACTGTGTGAGGGCCCCCTGGCAGGGTGGGGGCGGGGCGGTGGCTAGAACAAAGGGATGAGATAGAATTTCAGCTACTGTTCCGGCAGCCAGGTGGAGGAGAAGGATGTTGTTGAGCAAAGACCCCTCCTGCTCTGGCGGACACTGCAGGTGCCCCGCCCCGTCCTCTCGCCCGCCTCTGAGTTCACTTGTGTCTGTATTTCTGGTCCTCTGACACTTGGCTTTCTTCAGTGTTTCAGGGCTTGTTCAGCAGCCCCTAACCCAAGGGGGAGGGATTCAGTGTCCCCAGGGGCAACCCTCACAATACGTTTTGGGAGACTGTAGATAAATGCTCCAGCTTCCCTGACCCTGGCAGGTCCAGTCCTGAGGTGCTCTACCTGGTGCCGTAAGGCCCACACAGGGTGGAACATCAGTTGCCCACAGCAACAGCTTTCTCCCCACACCCCCTTCTCGGCTTTTCTCCTGTTCCTGCTCACCCTCCCGCTCCCTCACTCCTGCTTGCTGGGAACACCTCCCAAATAAACCACCTGCACCCAGGTCCTTCTCAGGGTGGCTTTTGGGGTGAACACAAACTAACACACCCCCTCCTCCCCATGCCCCATCTTGTCTGCTCACAGGTGAACTTGCAGCCCGGGTGGGAGCACAACATATACATGTACTTGTACTTCGTCATCTTCATCATTTTCGGTGGCTTCTTCACACTCAACCTCTTCGTCGGGGTCATAATTGACAACTTTAATCAACAGAAAAAAAAGATAAGTGGGGTCCGGGTGTTTTTGTGGTAGTGGCCAATCTTAAACTTCTGGTCCCTCGGCCTCATGACTAAAGCCAACACTACCGACAGCCCTTCTTGCCTGGCTGGAAGTCCAGCATTGGCTTGTAAGACCAACACCGACCTTTGCCCCCTGGTTGCAGCGCTCACCTCTGTTGGGTGTCTGGGCTGCTGCTAAAAGAGTTGCATTGCTCTGTACCAGCATGGCCCCCCAATTTCCCCTGGGGTCCTCGTTTTCTCTCCCAGAGTACCATGGTCCTCCTAGCGGGTGACCCCTTGGGGAATATGAACAGGGAAGGAATGGGCCCCAGCACGTGCTGCCTCTGCCTGCGCCCTGGCATCGGGAGCACTGAGTCGGGATGTCTTCGGAAGGGCCAGAGCCCCAGTTTCAGCAGAATCCCTACCTTCCTCGGGTAGAGAGGAAGACCTTTGCCTCCACGGGCACTAACTCCAGTGACCAGGAACCCAATCCCTGACAACCTCTCTATGTTTATTAAATATATAAAATATATTCATGCCATTCTTTCGTTTAATACCCTCCATGCCCCTGAGGTAGCTAGGGTACCATTTTAGATTTGTGCAAACCTGGATCCAGAGAAAAGAGGGGTCACAGGAAGAAATCCTAGCACAGCTTTGAGAGCACAGCATCGGTTTTGCCATCACACAAGCCTGGGTTTGCATTCCCAGCTCAACCACTTGCTGGGTGGCTGACCCTGGCAATTTCTTAAACCTCTCTGAGCCTCAGTTTTCTCATCCTTTCAATGAGATTAATGATACCTACTCGCACAATTTCGGTGAGAGGTAAATAAGATTCTGTACACAAAGCCCCTTGTTCAGGGCTGAGCACACAGTGGGCACAAGAGGAAACGTAGCGCTGTTATAATTTAGAATATACAGCTAGTGGGGCAGGCATCCCGCCTGCAGAAAGTCCTGAGCCAGGCTTCTGGTCATGAGAAGGGGCAAGACAGGTCTATGGGAGCCCTAGAGGGGCTCAGCAAGACAGCTGTGACACGCTGACCATAGTCATCAGTGCCCTGGGGGCTTTGCAGTTATCCACACGATGCTGTCTCCTTACCACTGAGCAGCCCTAGGCCCTGACATGGGGACGGCCATATGGCCCTGTTAGGGGACAGAGTGAGACAAACCAGTGATCAAGCGGAGGCCAGAAACTATATTTGCTGGCTCCTTAGTCAGACTTCTCAGTGGGCCCCGCCCAATACTCACCAATCCTCTGTCCCCATCCCCATGGGGATGTTCCTCTCAGGAAGTCCTCTGGGTCCACAAATTTTCTAAAATCTCCTCTCAAACCCCACAGATCTCAGCCCTTTTCCCCAACATTTGCAGTGACTAATTTCTACACACATGTTATTGAAATGGGAGGCTTGAAAATTACATCAGGAAGTAAAAGGTGAGGGGCTGAACGAAGGAGGTTCAAAGGGTCCCTAAAGAAAACAAATGTCCAATCCTAAGGGAGGAAGGTGTCTTTCGTGGTGGAATTTCCACCTCTGTAACAGCAGAGGGCAGTGCGACTGGGGGGCCTTCAGAGAACCCATTGAGGATTCTCCGAGGACCCTTGGTCAGGCAGTTAACTCTCCTGGAACGGGCTGAGAGGCTGGGTCCCAGAGTCTGTTCCAGAAGGCCCGGAGGGCAGCTCTTGCCCCTGGCTGGGAGTATGGTTCCAGAATCCAATGGGTTTGACTGGAATGAGACAGCTGCATCCAAGGCTCAGATGTGAGCCAACCCATACCTTCTCCTTGGGTCCTGTTCCCAAGCCCTCCCTCCCTTCATCCATGCAGCATCTCTGGGTCCCTGGAGATGATAAACAGGCTTTGCTCCAGAGACCCAGGCAGTGAGTCAGAGCTGGGGTTCAGTCCCATTGGCTCTGTCACTGTCTGTGACACCTGGGCAGGACACTCCTTGATCCTGACCTTGGCATGTCTTTCTGCAGAAAGGGGAGAAAGTTGAGAGCTCCTTTCCCTCCAGCGTGATTTTAGTATCCGTGGGGATTCCTGCTGCTTTAATAACAATGACGTGTTTTATCCTGTCCTGCACTTAGGGGGCCAGGACATCTTCATGACAGAGGAGCAGAAGAAGTACTACAATGCCATGAAGAAGCTGGGCTCCAAGAAGCCCCAGAAGCCCATCCCCCGGCCCCTGGTGAGCCCCAGAGCTTCCCTCTAGCACAGTGTGTCTGTGACTCCAACCTGACAGCGGTGCCTGTTTTGGATAGGGGCCTGGACAATTCCCTCTGTGGAGAAGGAGATCTGGGTTGAGTGTAGGGATGAGGGTAATGAGCGTTCCAGGTCCAAGGAATGAGAAGTCTAAGAGAAGCAACTCTGATCTTATGGAGTGAACATATCTCCTACAGTTACTCCAGATAGAACCATTCAGGGAAGGTCTGAGTTCTCCAACAGTGTTAGGGTTCAAGTACAGGATTGAGAGCAGATTAGGCTAACCGACTGTAAGCTGGTTAGAGCCCTGAGGTGAAACATTGTGTCATCATGCATATGCTCTAGGTTGCCGTGGCTCTCTGGCCTCACCCCACATTTCACCCCACATTTCACCCCACATTTCACCCCATGCCTAAAGGTGGAGAGGAAATGGCCCAAACCCAACTCTCCCTGGATCCTGGGTTGGTCAAAATCATGGTCAATAATTTTGGCACAATAGATACCAAAAATTATCGCACTCTAGTGTTTAAAGATTGACCAAAACTCAGGGCCATCCTCCACTTTGATTCCTTTATTTACAAAGACCCTACGAGATATGCTCTTTGATGCTCCTGTTAAGTGCAGAGCCCGAACCGCACGTGGTATCTGTTATGTGCGTTCTTCTCGGACTGCTGCCAGAAGATGGAAAGCATCAGACCTCTGGCTGGTCCTGGTGCGAGCGGAGGAACAGGCTGGGGAGTGGGCATGTTGCTGTGCTGGAAATACACAGCTGACCCTCTTCAGAGGATGTCTGAGCCGTTCACTCCAGTGGATGGAACTGGCATCTTGTCCCTTGTAGAACCTTTCTGTGGTTAAGATGCAACATTTATGAAGAAAACTGTGGGCACCGCCCATGGCAGAACCCCATTAGCCCCTCCCCAGACCAGGGCAGAACTTAAGGACCTTCAACAAAGAGACGGGCCTTTCCCTACATGAATTAGAAAGACATACATTAGAATTTCTAAATCAAGGCATGGGATTTGCATAAGTTACTAAAATATTCATGAGCACAGAATCTTAGAAACATTTACAGGAGGAAAAAAAGTGTTACGCTTTTGACACACTTTACTTGGAAACAGTGGTCATAAATGTATTACTATTTTCAGTTCTGATCAGAAGTGTTACAATGGAGAGTGATAGGATGTTCAGACCTCTGTAGAGGTAAAAGTTTTCTCCCAAATCCCCCCTAAGATCAGGATAACTGGGTTTGGGTGAGCATGAGCGAAAATCCTTAAAATTCATTGACTGTCCCTCTGTCAACCAGTCTAAAGGGCAGGAACAGGCTCAAAATTGAAATGTACAGACAAGCTGAGCCCAGCCAGTCAGAGCCAAGTCGGGGACTATAGGAGGAGGAGCCTCAGATTCACTGAGAAACAAGAAGCCGAGTCCACGTGGCCTTTACTGCTGGCCGGACTAATTGATTCCACATTTGAACCAGGAAATCTATGCTAGGAACAACCCTTGGCAAAATCATGATGGTTTCTGGAACCTTCCCCTATAAACTACTCAATTTCTCTACAGCATCTCAGTGTTTCCCCTCTTATCCATCAAACCCGCATGCCACCACAGTTCCCTCCCCGAAGGAGGACAATTCCCCTGGGGTGGGGTGGGCTGCCTTTTAAAAAGGCGCCATGAAGAGAATACCATCTTAATACAAAGGTAGGAACTCATGTTGGATTTCCGGGCACTACAATAGGGGTAGAAGCTGATGGTTGGTCAGGAAGACCTGCAACAACATCACCATTTTTCCTCATTGAGCCACAACCAAGATCCTCCAAGGCTGACATTGGAAGGAGGTTCTTCACATGGATAAGGGAAGTAAGACCATAACTCAGCTGTGTTCCTGAGATTCACCATCCTTTAGAATGGGGTCGAGAGGTATCACTAGTTCACTATGAGTATTATAGTAGCTTTAGTGGAGGAGCATGGCTCTCTCCTAATATTCTGGTCCAAGAATGGCAAACACTCTTTCCTCTGTTCCCCTCAGTGTGACTGAGGCAAAGCTGGGACATTCAACCAGGACTGTAATCTTAGGGATGCTGCAGGCCCCAAGCAGCAACTGCACACCCTGCCCTCCAGGGCCCACAGGCCTGGGCTCATCCCAGCTGCTGGCTGGAACCCACTTGGCAGGCGGTATCTTGGCATCCACCACCCAGTGGCACAAGCCTGATTACTTGTTCTGCTCAAAGTCCAGAGCCAAGAAAGAAACCCAAAGAAAAAGAGAAATTCCCTCTACCATGTAAGGCCCGCCTGCCCAAGTCCAGCTTCCTTTTTGCCAGGTCATTGGCACCAGAAGGCTCACCTTCCTCCCTCCGGAGTCCCAACAGGTCGAGCTGGTCAGATAAGTCGAGCATCGACACGGGAGTCCTGCCCCACCGTTGCATGGGTGCCACATCACAGCACGGCCAATCTGGGTGACACGGGAGTTCTGCCCCACCGTTGCATGGGTGCCACATCACAGCACGGCCAATCTGGGTGACACGGACCTCCAACGCACATACCTGCCACTCACCACCCCTAGTGAAGCCCAGCTTCTCAACCTTATGCTTCATCCATAACAAAGACTAAGGCTTCCACGAGACATGGAAACTTTATTCTAGAACATTCTTTATGATAGACATCACTAAAAGCAGGTTTCACATAGTCCACTTTATAGGGAAATAATAAGCTCTATAATATCACATCCTCAGTCACCCACTTCATCATCTGTGAGAACACCAAGGGTTGAAAAGGTGTGATCCCTGCCCACAGGCGAAGCCAGGAGCAGCCAGCAATCCGCTGTCTTCCACAGCATCTGAATATGCAGGGCAAACTCACACCTGGAGCTTAGCAATGTTGTCACCTGTTCTGTTTGATTCGAAGTCATGTGGCCATGAATGGGCTGCCTTTTCACCATTTTCAGTGATGAAATGGAAGCTATTATTGGCTCAGCAATACCCCTCCCACTCCAGAAAAGATGTGAGCCAATAGTTATGCCAGAACTAGGCCCACGAGGGTCAGATTCTTTGATCTAACTCCAAAGGGTAGCAGCTCACCCCACTGTCAAACAGAAAGTAGGAACCAGCCTCTGTCATAGCCCTTCTGCCCTCTGCTTGCTCTGCAGCTCCTGGGAGCTCCCTGGTGAGACTCCTAACAGCTTCCTCTCTTCCTCCCTCACAGCTACTCATGCAGAGCCCTGCACATAGTACACATTTATTAAGTGCCTGTGGTGCAAAATTAAATTTAATCAAGCCCCAGTGAAGTGGCTTTATAGTTTCATTTAAGGCGTGGGGAACACAGCTGTCTGTTCTGTCATCCATTCATTCATCTATTTATTGAGTATCTATCATGTGCCAGGTACTATGCAGATACTGGGGAGAGAGCAGTAAGCAAGATACACAAAGTTCCTGCCCTCACAGAGATTACAGTCCAGTGACTCAGGAAAATAGCTAGCAAAACCCACATACATATTAATTCACAGGCTTGAGAGATTGCCAAGGGAGAAAGAATGGGGTGAAAAATAAAGGATACCTAGATCTGAGCCTTGAGGAACCCTCCCATCTAAACGTTGGGTAAAGAAGACTCAAAAAAAAAAAAAAAAAAAAGCCAGGAAATCAAGAAAAGAGGAAAATAAGGCATGATGAAAACCAAGAGGGAGAGTTTCAAGGCTGAAGGGTTGTAAGCAACACCAAACAAGTGTCCTTAGAGTCAGCAGTATGGAGGTCATCGGTGATCTTAGCAAGAACCATTCCGGCGGCAGGATGGGACAGAGAGCTATGTTGCGGTGGATTGAGGAGTGAATGGGAAACCGTGTTTGCACACAAATCCTTCAAGAAATTTTGCTGTGAAAGTGGAGCGAGAATAAGGTGGTAACTGAAGAAGGTGAGAGGTTCAGGAAGATTTTTCTTTAAATTAGAAAAACTAGGTCATTCGATATTCAGCTAAAGAACCAAGACATAATAGCCAAGAGTGTCCAAGTGTGGCCAAGAGCCTTACTCGTTGGGAAGGAAGCAGAGGGACCAGAAGGTGGGGGAATGGCAGCAATGAAGAGGAGGTGAGGGTGGGCTAGCGAGGGGACACAAGTTCCAAGGAGAAGAGACTTTATAAGACACAGGAGGAGCAAAGGTCTGGAAGTGACACTGGGGAGCGAGAAAGACCTCAGGCCTGCTTCCCAGCCCTGGAGTTCAGGGGTGAGGGAAATAGGCAACCACTAAGCAAGAGGAGATGTTTGCACATCAAGGCAGGTGAGCTCCACAGAGCTCAGGAGAAGTATTTGGGAGAAAGTCAAGAGTGGAGAATGGAGTTCAGGCCAAGGAGTCCTAGAACAGTATGATGTTAACAACATGGGAAAAACTAGAGGGCTATACTAGGAATTTTTTTTTAAAAAGCATAAAAATAGCCAAATATATATGATCTGTTTGTTATCCAAATTATTCTGCCTCTTTCCAAGAATGCAAACAACCAAAACCTGACCCCATGTCTTGTACCTACATTTGCTTAGATGTCTGCACAGCCCCAGGAATAAAGAGAACATTTGCAGAAGAAGTCTCACCGTCACACCAACTTGACCCTTGAATCAATAATTTTGTGAGCAGTTCTTGAACTCTTGCTGTATGCAGTGTACTACAGGAACACAAAGTTAAATAAGACATGTCCCGCCCTGGCCAGTTTGGCTCAGCGGTTAGAGCGTCAGCCTGTGGTCCGGAGAGGCCGGGGTTCGGTTCCCGCTAAGGGCATGTACCTCGGTTGCAGTTTGTCCCCGGCCCTGGTTGGGTCGTGTGGGTGGCGACCACTCAATGTGTCCCTTTCACGTTGATGTTTCTCTCTCACTTCCTCTCTCTCCCTCCAGCTCTATCTGAATAGAAAATGGAAAAATGTCCTCGAGTGAGGATAAAAAAAAAAAATGACCTGTCCCCTGTGTTTAAAAACTCACTGTCTGGTAGAGAAGAGAAATGTACATGAAATGCTAGAACTCGAGACTGACCACAGACTAAACCAAAAGAAGGGGCGGAGCAATGTGGTGTGATATGTTTAGAGCAAACTCCCTTGGAAGGAGTGGGACCATTGGGATTTAGAGAGCTAAGAGACAGGCTGGACGCATTGCAAATGAAGGGAAGAACATGCTCAAGGACAAAGTGCCTGGTGATGTCATGGGGCCAGAAGCGATGAGGACTTGAACTGAGGCAATGAGGCAGAATCAACGCAGAGTGATATTATGGACAGGAATTGGCTTCTACTTGGACATGGAGTGTGAGGGAGACTACAGGGACAGACTTTAAAACCCCATGCCTGGTTTATGTTGGCCAAAAGGCCCTGACGTACCATCTCTTATTTTCTCAGAACAAGTACCAGGGATTCGTCTTTGACATCGTGACCAGACAAAGTTTCGACATCATCATCATGGTCCTCATCTGCCTCAACATGATCACCATGATGGTAGAGACGGATGATCAGAGTGAGGAAAAGACAAAAGTCCTTAACAAAATTAACCAGTTCTTTGTGGCCGTCTTCACGGGCGAGTGTGTCCTGAAGATGTTCGCCTTGAGGCAGTACTTCTTCACCAACGGCTGGAACGTGTTTGACTTCATCGTCGTGGTCCTCTCCATCGGGAGTAAGTGGGCATCGCATGTGGTGGGGAAGCCCAGCCTCTCCTTGCGGCTGTTTTGGCTGTTCTTTCAAAACTGAGGGGACGCCCTGGCCGGTTTGGCTCAGCGGTTAGAGCGTCAGCCTGCGGTCCTGAGAGACCCGGGTTCGGTTCCCGCTAAGGGCGCGTACCTCGGTTGCAGTTTGTCCCCGGCCCTGGTCGGTTGTGCGGGTGGCAGCCACTCGATGTGTCCCTTCACGTCGATGTTTCTCTCTCTCTCTCTGTTCTTCTCTCTCCCTCCCACTCTACCTGAACAACAACAAAAAAAAAACTGAGGGGACAACAAACAAACTTTTTAAACACGTTGTACATTAGAGGAGCCCAGAGTTTGCTGCCTGCCAAGCACTGCAGATTTAAAGTGCCTCTGGCCTCTCAGTCAAATGGAGAGGTCCCACTCGCCTTCTCCACGCTGTCATGAAGTATCTTCAGGCACCTGCTGTGCATGCAGCCTTCGCCAGAATTTGGGGGGCTGATAGGGAACAATTGCTCCTCCAGAGAACCTAAGATGATGGAGTTTCCAGTGGGCCTTATTTTATGATCTTCAAATCAGAGAGTGGGTGGTATGCTGTGAAGTGAGTCATAAAATACTTTTTGGAAAAGGAGGTGGGTTGCCAAGTGAGTGAGGAAAGTCTGCGAGAATATTGCTCAGAGGAGATTCTTAAGTCAAGAGCCTGGAACTCCATCTCTGTATAAGTCTCCACTTAAGGAATATGAGTGACAGACAAGTCAAAGGATTGATGCCCAAGAGATCAGGGCCGGTGTGGTCTAGGCTGGGTGTTGTTGGATGACAGGCCAAGTAATTGGGGGCTAAAGTTGTTGAGAGAGAATGAGAAGAGTCAGAGGCTAAGGTGGAGGATGGAGCCACCGGAACTAGTGCTTGCTGAATTCTTAGCACTAGGCTGGGCTCACGAATCTCCGCAGTAGCCCTGTGAAAAGAGAGCCTCAGAGATTAAGAAAATTAGGCAAAGTTGAACAGTTTGTGAAGGGAGGAGCTGAACTTAGACCATGGTAATGCTCTGATGAACTAGCAGTCTCCCATCAACAACCAAGAGACGGTACCTGGCTTTTGTGCTGTTTACCCCAAGTTTGGCCCTGTTAAAGCCAAACCCCAGCACACCAGCTTTACTTTACATTATAAATGCACCCTGGCCCGCTATAGCATGGCCTGCTTACTTTTCATATCAGGGCACGATTGTAAATTTAATTTTCCATTGATTTCCAGTCCAAAGCTAATGGCATCTAAATACAACTTGGCAGCATTTAATCCATCTCCCTACTCTGGTGCTGAAATACAACCTTGGGTTGTGTTTAGTTGTTTGGGGGCAGGCAGGGGTGGGGGATGTATTTTTGGGTTTTTTTTTTGTTTTGTTTTATTTTCTTGTTGCTGCTGGGTTTTGTGGGAGGTTGGTTTTGCTTGTTTGTTTGTCTTCCAAAGTGACAGACTCTAAAGTCCATTTTGATTTTCTGTTAGAGAAGGGAGCTTGTTTATGTGACTTCCCATATCAATATTATAGAAATAAAATATACTTGCCCTGCCAACGTGGTTCAGTGGATTGCGCATCGTCCCATGAACTGAGAGGTCCCGGTTCGATTCCCAGTCAGGGCACATGCCCGGGGTTGCAGGCTCGATCCCCAGTAGGGGGCGTGCAGAAGGCAGCCAATCGATGTTTCTCTCTCACATCGATGTTTATATCTCTCTCTCCCTTCCTCTCGCTTTAAAAAATCAATAAACACATATCTCTTTAAAAAGAAATAAAATATACATGAAGTACTCAATTCTATAATGTGGACACCATAACTACCAGTTCCTGTGACCTACACAGTGACACGTCACTGGGCAGAAATCGCTCAGAGAGACAGCTAGAAAGCAAGGGAAAGACAGACTCCACCTCTCCTTCCTTCTGTTCTCTCTCCTTTTCTCCCTTCCTTCCTACCAGCAAGACATGTATTGAGCATCTAAATGTTACAAGTATGAACACTTACTCTCCCTTGAAGTAGATGTAGACAAGTTGGCTGGCAGAATCTAAGATTATATGGACACATAATATACCCACACTATAGAAAAAGTGTCCCAGTTAAAGTAGACTTTAGGAGGGGCTTTCATTAAGACTTTATAATCCAAAATCAAAAGTATTTATTAAATCTCTTCCCATTTCCTTCCTCCTTCCAATACAATACTGTGACTATCCATGTTCCTATGATAAAAGGCAACTAGAAGAAGAAGGTCAAGTTAGAGATCAAATAGAGAGACATATGCATTCTTCATCTTTCCAACCCTGTTCATAGGTGGGGTGGGGGGCTGTAACTGACCTTAAACATGCCCATCTCCAGATCCTAACAGAGAGTTTAAACACAGCTGGAAATGAAAGAAACAAATAAAAGCCATTATGCAGACAGCTGGTCATTCAAAGCCATTCTGCTTTAGCTGTCAGCAAGTTGCCAAACTCCTAGGCCCCCTTATAATTAATACCAGGCTCTGTACAATTATCCACAGGACCATGTGCCAGGGACTTGATCCATCTTCGCAGTAGGAGATAGGGAGATGAATCACAGGGGGCCGTGTCCTTCACAGAGCACGGGACCAGAGTGGAGGTAAAGGCATGACCCAGAGGCTGAATTCTCAGGGAAGAGCAGGGTCTGTGTCATAGACAGAAACAGACAACAGACTCCGTGCACGGGGAACACGGTGCAATCACTTCCAGCTGAGCCACGCTGCAGACGATAGGGTTTTGACCATGGAGATTGACTAAAAAGATATTCTGGGTGTAGGGAAAAATAAAAACATGGTAGGAAGGGTGAGACTTACTTGAGAAAGAAAGGATTTATGCAGTTAACACTTACTGAGCCCCTACTCTATGCCAAACACTGTGCCAGGCTCAGAGGGCCCACAGTCTTTGAATACAGATGCTCACATGGAGGTTCATTTGGGGCTGAGATTAGGGAGTGAGATCCCAGCCAACTGTGTCAGGGCTCGTGGTTGGGAGTACTAATTAGATCATTTCCTCTCTCTTTTTAAGGCCTGGTGTTTTCTGCAATTCTTACATCACTTGAAAATTACTTCTCCCCGACGCTCTTCCGAGTCATCCGCCTGGCCCGCATCGGCCGCATCCTCAGGCTGGTCCGAGCAGCCAAGGGGATCCGCACGCTGCTCTTCGCCCTCATGATGTCCCTGCCTGCCCTCTTCAACATCGGGCTGCTGCTCTTCCTCGTCATGTTCATCTACTCCATCTTCGGCATGGCCAGTTTCCCCAATGTCAAGCAGGAAGCTGGCATCGACGACATGTTCAACTTCCAGACCTTCGCCAACAGCATGCTGTGTCTCTTCCAGATCACCACGTCGGCTGGCTGGGATGGTCTCCTCAGCCCCATCCTCAACACGGGGCCCCCCTACTGCGACCCCAATCTGCCGATCAACAATAGCACCAAAGGGGACTGTGGGAGCCCAATCGTGGGCATCCTCTTCTTCACCACCTACATCATCATCTCCTTCCTCATCGTGGTCAACATGTACATCGCAGTGATTCTGGAGAACTTCAACGTGGCCACGGAGGAGAGCACCGAGCCCCTGAGCGAGGACGACTTTGACATGTTCTACGAGACTTGGGAGAAGTTCGACCCGGAGGCCACCCAGTTTATAACCTTTTCTGCCCTCTCAGATTTTGCAGACACCCTCACTGGCCCCTTGCGAATCCCAAAACCCAATCAAAATATATTAATCCGGATGGACCTGCCCTTGGTCCCTGGAGATAAGATCCACTGCTTGGACATCCTTTTTGCCTTCACCAAGAATGTTCTGGGAGAATCGGGGGAGTTGGATTCTCTGAAGACAAATATGGAGGATAAGTTTATGGCAACTAATCTTTCAAAAGAATCTTATGAACCAATAGCTACCACCCTCCGGTGGAAGCAAGAAGACATTTCAGCAACTGTCATTCAAAAGGCCTATCGGAGCTATGTGTTCCAACGCTCCAAGACAGTCTTCAACCCCCCAGGTGTGCCCAGGGCTGAGGAAGAGGCTGCGTCAGTCCCAGAAGAAGACTTTGTTGCATTCATGGGAAATGAGAATTGTGTGCTCCCAGACAAATCTGAAACTGCATCTGCCACATCTTTCCCACCATCCTATGACAGTGTCACTAGAGGCCTTAGTGATCAAGTCAACATGAGCCCATCTAGCTCAATACAAAATGTAAGAGAAGCTACCAGTAAGGAAGCCACTACCCCTACACCCTAGAGAGGACAGTCCAGCATGGACATGCCCATTTCTGATGCGTCCTTCTACTCTGTGATAACTCTTTCCCACTACAGGTAGCATCCAGCTACCAATTCACCATGCATGCCACTGGTCACAATGTCAGAACTGGGCAAGGGAATACAGTTGATTCCCACCTTTGGAGATGCCCCCATTCACCAACAAGAGTCAGAAGCCAGGAACATTTCCACTGTGACTTCCCTTTTGAATTTCAATATCAGACGATGGGTTCCAGACACAGTTTTCCAGAAACTGTCCCTGGTCCTTTTATTTTTATTGTGACTAGAACTTTCATTAATTGCAACAAACTTCTCAGGACCAGAACTTCCAAAGATCTATGGCAAGGATGTTCCTGAAGGTCCAAGGTAGTCCTCTGTGAAACATCATATAGAGATGGACAATATTATTTAGGATTTTGCATGACTGCATGTTGAGAGCTGCAGACAACTGTTCCAGCCCAAGGTAACACCTGTGGCCTACGTTATGAAAGGCCTTTGAGATAGCCATTAAAATTAATATTTTTAAAGGTAGGTCAAGACCAATGTTATATCTTAAAGCATCATTTTTTAAAAAGTATGTGATATCAATGTGTCACAAATCACTTCTCCTTCACGTCTAGGGTTCCTGATATTTTGCAGCTTGAGCTTGAAGCTCAAGGGTAGAGGGGTGGGGGTGGAGAAGGACCACTGTCCTGGGAGCTGATTCTAATTCTGACTCCTCCATTGATTGATTGCCTGGCTGACCTGGGCCAACCTCTTTCACTTCTGAACTTCAGTTTTCTCACTTGTCAAATTGGTGGGAGTGGGGATAGAATGGACACTCTCTATAGCCCTTGTGTCTCATGTAACAGAGCGCAGTGGTGCCCTGTCAATGTCTATGAGGAAAACACTCTCTCTTCTGAAGCTACAATGACCAGGCCTTTCTGCTGTACCTGAAGAAGCAGCTTCTGGATATTCCAGAGCCTGTTCCACATCTCACAGTCAGACTTTAAGGAGGAAGGTTTTCGCATTCCCCTTGGGCCAGGACTTCATAATTAGTACAATAAAAAGAAAAGAGATATTTTGACAAAGATAATCTGGGAAATAAAAGGTATGACCAATATTTTCTTTAATCCATCCTACAAATGTTATTAAGTCCCTATTCTATGACAGGTACTGCTCTAAGCACAGAGATAATGGGAGTTAAGTCCCAAAAGATTAACTGGCTTCATGCAGTGAATGAGGTCAGAGTCATCAGAGAGAATACTCAGGCCACAGGCATGTGGCAGGTCTTACGATGAAGGAGAGCAAGGAACTCGTATGACAACATAGAACATAAAGGATCTTAATGACAACATGACCTTTTAGTAATTCTTGGGACAGTCCCTGCCACAATGGCAAGAATCAAGTCAATTCATTGGTATATATTTGATCACTTTGTAAAAGTCTCCATTTATATAATTATAAAACTAAAGGCTGGTCCACCTTACATCTGCTGGTCCACCTTACATGGTCCACCTTACATCTGCAAAACTTTTAGAGTCTAACAGTTATCAAGCATTGGCATAGATATAGAGCAACAGAAACTCTGATACACTGCTGGATTTTGTAAACTGGCACAACCATTTTGGAAAGCAGTTTAACTTTATTAGAATTGTTGAGGACACATATACCCATGACTCAGGTTTTCCATTTTTAGATATGAAACCTAGAGAAATCCAAGCACACATGCTGTAGGAGACACATGCACAAGATTTCTTATCAATATTGTTCATAATGACGCCGAATTAGAACCTAATATCCATCAGCAGTAAGACTAATTAAAATTGTGGTTCATTTTTAATGTAATTTTATAAGAAATTACAGGTGTAGCCTTATAGAAGTCTATAGATGAATCTTAGAAACATTGAGTGAAAGAATCCAGACATGAGACTATACAGACTATATGATTTTGAGTTTTAAACACAGACAAAATTAAATATATTGGTTAGGGGTGCATAAAGAAAAGGAGGGATTGGTTACCATAAAAGCCAGAGTAGAAGTTACTGCTAGGGGGAAGGAGGCATTTATGACCGGGTCTTTGGCATTGTTCTAATTCCTCATCTCAGTGGTTCTTTTCATGAGTGTTGCCTTTAAAACATGTGTTAAGCTAAACATATATATCTAATATGTTTTTCTGTGTGTGTATATCTCACAATTTAAAAAAACAACAAAACTTTATTAATGGCTTAGCTTAGATTCTTCTCCCTCTTCATAGAAGTAGTCACTACCTGCTACTCTGAATTGTGGCATTTCTGTCTTGGACTTGGTTCTCCGAGCTGAGTTGTAAAAGGAGGGGTAGTTCAATGAAGGGTAACAGAAAAAGGAAATTCTAGAGGAAGGAATAGCAACTGCAAAAGACACGAGAGATGTGCAAGGGGGTGAGAAGCTTGAGAAATTTAACCAAATCATAGTGAAGCAAGCACCTCAGGGAGTAGGGAGTAAGGAGAATATGATCACAATGGGGACCAAGTTTTGTATCCCCATGATTTTTTATTTTTTTGGATGGTATCATAGGTGATATTAAAACATTTAACAATCTGCCCTGGCTGGTTTGGCTCAGCGGTTAGAGAGTCAACCCACAGACCAGAGAGTCCCGGGTTCGGTTCCCGCTAAGGGCACGTACCTTGGTTACAGTTTGTCCCTGGCCTGGGTTGGGGTCATGTAGGTGGTGACCACTCGATGTTTCTCTCTCTTCCTCCCTCTCTCCCTCCCGCTCTATCTGAAGATAAATGCAAAAATGTCCTCAGCTGAGAATAACAATAATAATAAATAAAACATTTAACAACCTGCCTGGAACAGGGCACCTTCCCGGAGGGACCATTCTGCTACCGCAGGCTTCCGGAGGCCCCCTGCTGTGCCAGGGACTAAGTCTGCCATTGTTGGATCAAGGGGAAATCTAGAGGGAAGTCCCAAAGGAGGGACCAGGGCAGCTGGGCAGGCGGGGAGAGGGCACTTACGGCAGCAGCTGTCTACCAATCAGTACAGAAATATTTCATTACGCCGGATATCAGCTCTGGTTGCAAGTGACAGAGATCCAACCCAAATCAGTTTATGGGGCAAAGAAAGGAAAATATTTTCATCTACTAAACAGGAAGCCCAGAGATGCCGCTGGATTCAGGCTGCGCTAGATTCAGGAGCTCAGAAGATGTCACCAGGATGCCACCTCTCCCCCTCTCGGCTGTGTTTTCTTCTGTAAGTTCTCAAGCAGGCTCTGTCCTTTACCCCTGTGGCCTCAGAAGAAAAGCTTGACTCGTTCCCAAGGATTCCAGCAGAAATTTGCAGTGAGTCGTGTCATTGGCCCACATCATATCACATCTCTTCCCCTACGCATACGTTGTACCCAGAACACACAGCACAATGGCCATTTCTGCATCACCTGCTCATCCTGAGAGCCGGGGGCTGAGAGCAGGTCCCACGTGAAAAAGCTCCGTATCCTAAGAAGAGGGAACAGATGATGAACCGGCTAAACCAATAGCTGCCCGCTCCGTTCCACCCTTTAGTGGCCCCATATCAACACACGTACAATATCAAAGCACCTTCCTAACATATTGGGGCTGTCCCACATAAAACTGCAACCCCCTTTTCCCAAAGGAGACAATCCGGAGCCTTGTCCAATTCTTACACCCAGCTGCAAGTCAAGAATGTTTGAATCGCCAAATTCTGTCAGCTCTCCTTTCAAAGTAAATCCAGGATTTGACCACTTCTTACTCCCTTGACTACTATCAACCTTATCAAAGTAACCCCCCTCTACTTCAATAGTCCCCATTGATTTTCCCATTACCACACTTGTCCCCAACAGTCTATTTTCCTCCAGCAGCAGCCAGAGCTCGAAATCCGCCCATGGCTCAGTGGTACTTGGAGTAGACGTCGTTACAATGGTTTTACACAGTCTGGCTCTCACTCTTCTCTGACTCATCTCCCCCACCCATTCTCTGTGCTCCGGCCACATTGTCCTCCTCAGTGTTCTGAAACCACAGGCATGCCCTTGCCTCCGTGCCCAGGCCTCTGGAACTTGCTTTTCCCTCAGCCAATATACCCACACAGCTCATGCCCACACTTTCTTCAGGTCCTCCCTGACCAATCTAATTACCTGCCACATTCATAGCACTGATCACCCTCTGGGTAGCTGCTCGTGGCCCGGTACTCAAAGGCTAGCCATCTGGTAGACAATAGATAGAATAAACATATCAGCTCAACGAAAATGCCTGTTTAAGAAACAACACTAAGGACTTCCGGTCAAGACGGCGGGTAGGTTACCGCGGTATCGCGTCCTCCCTCAACCACATCCAAGTTACAACTAAACTACAGAACAACCATCATTCAAAACCGCCTGAAATCAAGCTGAATGGAAGTCCTACAGCTACGGAATTAAAGCAGCAGCCACATCCAGACTGGTAGGAGGGGCGGAGGGGACGGGCTGGGCCCACACCCACGTGTGGCGGATAAAAATCAGGAGGACACCTCGGCAGAGAAGGTCCTTCCTGAGGACTGAGGGGTCCCTGTCCCACACCAGGTGCCCTGCTCAGGGTTCCAGTGCCAAGAAGAGAATCCCCATCACTTCTGGCTGGAAAAACCGGCGGGAACTGAGGCAAAGGGAAGCTGACGCGGCTGGAGCCCCAGGCAGCTCCTTAAAGGGCCTGCGCACGGACTCGGACTCTCTCCCTCTAAGCTTGGGGTGGGGGGGTGGGCAGCTTGAGGGGCACCAGAGACACACAGGGAAGAACTGAGCTGCTTGGCATTGGAGCAAGGGCTGGAGAGGGGGCTTTCTCTGGGACAAACGTGCTGTCAGAGGCCTTTGTTCCTTTGGTGAGCCCTTCCCTGGGGCAGCAGACAGTCACCATATCTGGGACTCCAGCAACCTGGCTCACACTGGTAGCCCCGCCCTGCTGACTCCCTGAGGCCCCGCCCCACCCAACTTTCAGGCCCACCCAAGCTGTTGCCACTTCCTTAACCATAGGATTG